GAGACTTCGAGCACAATGCCGTCTTGCTTAATGTACATGCGGTATTCTTCGTGTACGAATTCGCCGAACGCTGAATGGACACGGACCCTTTCTCAAATTCCCGCTTTAACGATTCGGCGAATTCTTCACGGAATCAAAGCACGTTCGCCAAAGAACAGCAAGGGAATCTCGCGGCCCACGTCTGTCGTGCAGACTCATAGGAAAGATATTATGCGAAATCACGTCTTCGTCTCTTTGCAAATGTAAATGTATGGCGCGCGATATTCCCCTCGCTCGTTGAAGTATCCAGGAAATCTATGTATTCTTTGTATTTATTATAATAAACGTAAAAAAAAGTGACACATTAATTCTAAAATCTATTCATTAGTATCATAAATATATGACGAATAAACTGTTTTGTAAAAAGACAATCTTATTATTAAATCTTCGATATAAACTACTTCTATTAAATAACTATATATGCCCAATATTACTTGACACAGATTACCTTAACAAACGAGATATAACGAATTGCCTGTTAATCCATTTTGCGCGTTAATCTCTATTGCGGTTAAAACTCTAGTTTCAACGCCTCTAACGAATCTGATCGCTTTTGCGGCCAAATCTCATCGACAAACGAGACTTCCTGGATAGGCAAACTAGTTTCATGCGATCATATACAAGCGGTATCCACAGCCATTTAGCTACTACCACACAGAGAGGAGGGTACAGGTGAGAAGAGATGGATGGGACCGATCGAATGACCGGAAAAAAAATCGGTGGAAAGAGGGAAGAGAGGTCTGGAACAGCGCGAGCAGCGGCAGTCAACGTCGTACAAATTTCCACGTAAAATCCCACATTGCACGGTACTTTTGAAACGAGGGACATCCCATCAAAACAAGAGAATACGTATATCTTGCATTTTACACGCGTATCCGTGATACAGTATCGATTCGAACGGTACTTGGTCGATAGAGCGGAGGCCGATGGAACGATTTAAACGACCTGGATTGGTATTTTTGTTATTTCGCAACTATAAATTCATGTGTGAAAAAGTTTAATCCCTTTTCCTGCCATTCTCTTTTTCCCTCCCACGTGTCAAAATTTGTTTAAAGCCATCGTCACTGCGTACGTATTTGCTACGAATCTCGTGACTGAAACCAGCGCGTTTTTATTTGTCACGGTCGAGCCGAGGATAATTCTTGCTCGAATACGAAAGCGATCGTCAAACGGAGTGTCATTACCGGACGATGGTCGCGGGCGACGCATGAGAGAATCCTTGAGCTACATCACCGCATACTAATAGCTTACCGAGCACTGTAATTCTATTACATTTACCAAACGCTCGGCATGCATCGCTCTTACAGAACAGATAACGCAAAAGAAATGCATAAATTTTCCTAACAAAAATACAAGAAGAAAAAACGAAAAACCATAAGAAACTTGTTGAAGAATCTGTTCCTAAACTCAATCTGAAATTATGCACAGATGTTATCTAAAAAATCATATAACTTCGACAACGGAATAACACAAATGCACACGAGAATAGAACATAATTCCTATCGCGTTCCATGCGTTTGTTTTCTCGATAAGTTTCCGCATGATTCGCCGATTTGGTGCGGACTGCGGAGTTTCATAGAAATGGAAGATTTGCGCGATATTCGAGCAGAATGAAGATGAACATGAAATGTTGCGCATCGTGTACCGTAATCGGCGCTAGGATATATATCAGTGGTCTCGTCTTCGATCCAAGAGTCAACCTCGACGAATTCGGCGACGAAGCTCGGTATGTGACACTTGATAATTGCGGCGTTCCCCCGAAGGACGTGTTCGTCCATCACGTTCACTGCATACCGCTGCCCGACAACTGCAACCAGACACGGGTTTCCGGCTTTACCATAAGGCGCACATCTCCCACCTGGCAGGACGTGTCGATCGTTCGTCGATTAACTATACGATTTTGATTTCATACCATCGACGATTTCGTCAATTTGTATAATACGTAAAAAATGAAGATATTAATTAATTTCATAGCGATAGATGAGGTGTTGCGTCTAACAATTAAAGTCAAATACAAAAATATTGTTTCATATCCTTTCGATTGTTAATAATTTGATAATTTATAATTTATATCATTCAATAATTAATTATTAAATATTTATGTATCGTATGTAAACTTATTTATCATTTGTATCTGCTTTACACACGGATTGCGTAAACGCAGTTTATTACGTAATTTCCTAGTACGTTTTAATCGAATTTATATGAGCCGCAAAAAAGCTAGTTTCATTAATTCAAAGTGAGTATTTATGTTATCTTATATCAAGGAAAGAATCTCAAACCGGAAAATATTGTGTGCTATTATACTGGCTTGCGGATAAGTTGTTAATCAACAAAATAACGTATTTTTACGCGCTTTAACGAATTAAATTTAAAAGTTTGTACAAAACACTGTTATGACATTCCATATTATTGCAAATTTATATCATAAATTTTCAGAAGTGTTGATTAACAAGTCCGCTTTAATTACCACGAAAACGCTTCGATGTCATTGTAACATATAATGTGTAATAAATATTATATAGTGTGTAATAAATCTTTTTCGCAATTTATAATAAAAACAGGTACTCGACGAACGATTCAGACGTTATTCTTGCAACATGATCATCACGACGGTTTTCAATGACTCGATAAATTCTGTTCAGCGAAACGGGCGTATCATAATCAGGAATCCTATTCACGTCACCATCGCGTCTCTATTCTTTGTGAATTAAAATAAACTCTACTGTCGGCGGCAACTGAAGAATATGTTCCTGTCAAAGAGAACTGGTCGCGCGACCGGTCTTGAAATAGACGCGATCGATGTTCAACATTACGATTCGTTATACACGTTCAATAAACAAGTGGCACATCGATGCACATCGCAACGATATGAAAGATATCTAATCGTAAGGCGTGTTGCATGCGCCTTACACACTTCACATTTAAACCAAGCAAACATGATACGTGGTATCATTAAGAGGAAAGGAGGAAATTGTGGGAAGCGCATGCAAGATCGAATAACTCGGTCGATCGATCCAGTTCTCTCGTTCGGTGATCTGCGCCCTATTCAGACAAGACTTGCGATTTTCCAGCTTACAAGGCAGGGCACAATGCGCAACGCGCGTGCATCCCTTCAGTTTTTATTATACTACCATATGACTGTGCGTCGGCGACGTAACTGCCGCCGTTGGAATCGATCCATCCCACCACGTCCACGTGGTCGGCCACGAACGAGGGAACTTGACACTTGAAAATAGCCGCGTTGCCGCGTATCGCGAACTGATCGTAAACCTGAACCTCAAAGTACTGGGCGACCACTGCAAATGAAGCGAGAGAAAAAAAAACAAGAGTTTGGCGTTTGTTCTAGGCTGACGAGTACGCGCTTTGATCGCGCCGATTAAAATTCCAATGAGGCTGGCTGTCTGCAAACTGGCTACCGCTGCAGCCAGTTTCCGATCGTGCTCCTATCGAGTTCAGCAACATCCGATGCACGTGGACATCGATCCAGTTAATCCAACTTAATCTAATTGCAAATTAGCAAATCCGCGCTCTCGACTCTTAATTTCATAGAGAAAGTTCGCGGATTCTGCGTCGAAGAAGATATCAATACGCGGCATATTTTACGAATATTGCACTCTGAATTAATATTTAAAATAACATTTCTCTCTCTCAATATCATTTTATAACCACAAGCCGAGTTTTGTGCCAATTCTGCTAAGATTTCTATTATCCTAATTTCTACTCTCACGAGTTGATAAATAAATTTAGTTACGACGCTTTTAAAATACGCAACCATTCAGGAAATAACATCCATTTCCATAATTAAAAGTTAGATACGGAAGCGAGATTATGTAACTAAAAAAACGACTTCTCACATGGAAGCACGGTAAAATTTAATACATTAATGCTTGCCATAATATCCTCGCCCCATTAATTAATATTGCAATATATTCGTGCACTGGCTACCGTGGCCGTAAGGTAGATTCGATTACGTTGCCGGGAATAACCCTTTAACGATCCTCTCTCTTTGCTAAAAGTGGATCAAATCGCCTGGTTGCGCGGGCGTTAATTCGCTTCTCGACCCGATTAATCCGGCTTATCCTGATCCGAGGATCACGTTGAACGAGACCACTGCAAGCCGCATGCTCCTCCTCTATTCACCCTTCCCGATCGCCTAATCGAAAAAGGGCAAATTTTTTGGGCCAGAACCCGCGTTCCACTCCATCGACCACCAACCCTTCTTTCTATTATGTATATGAGAGTGCACGTTCTAATACCGAACGACGCTAGTATGTGCGACATATGGATAAATAAACCGTCTCCGTCTATTTGAGACCAGTACATTGTAATTTAATTTACAAAGTGCTTTGAAAGATAGATCTCGTGAGAACTTGTAAGGACATAGAAAAATATATTGAAAGATAAAAAGGATTTATCTAGAAAAAATAAAAAATTGCATCGCTATGACATAATCAAGATTGAGAATTGATATATATGTCGACAAGATTTACAAATATTATTTCGTTAACGTTGATTTCGTGCAACCAACATAAGTACCCTTTTCTTCCTGGCTATTCGTGGTATACGTTGAACCATCCTCAGCCTGCCATTCAACCACATCTACGAAATCCGCCACAAAGCTGGGCACGAGGCACTTCAGGGTTGCCGTATTTCCGCGTAAGACGAACTCGTCGATGACCCTCGTCTCGTAAAATTGCTGGACCACTGTAACGCGCGATTTCTCTCAGAGCAGATCTCGTGATATATCATGATATTAAATTTCGCTTTGACGAACGCTACTCGAACTGCACCGAAAGACGATTAAGATTCTGCAGAGGCATCGTATTTTTCGCCATTGAAATTGTTATCGTCAAAACTCATTTCGGTATCGTTTTCGTATCCATCTTTCGGACGTTTATCCCGTAACTTGAACACGCTTCCTAATGCGATTCTTTCTCGATACGCACGATTGCCCTAAACTACAGCAGAAATCCGAAAGTAAAAGTTGGAGCTCGTCACGAGCCGCGAACTGCAACCGACAGTTGTCGGATTGCCTGGAAACGGATGAGAAGAAAGTGCAAGAATTCGTTTGAGGGTGGGAAATGAGAATAACGGGGGAAATAAGAGAATGGAGAAGAAGAAGCTGTTCCGCGGATACAACAACGCATACTACGTCGGCATCGACCGGCGTCATACCGTACTCCTCCTGTCCGGGCGTGTAAATCGTCCCGTCGTCGGCCACCCACTGATCCACCTGGACGAACTCGGACACGAAGCTCGGTATTTTGCATTTCATGATCGCGCTGTTAGCCCGGATCACGTATTCGTTCTCGGCCTCGGTAACGTAGAACTGCGAAACCACTGCCGGCAATACGTTAACTCTTTGAGACACGGTAAAAAATAAATCGTGTCCTCGAAGGTTTAATAATTTTCCTGGTTTCATAACGGTGAGATTTATGTGATTAATTTGTACCTCTTTATATGAAATAAATCAATTAATCGAATAAAAATTCAGAATATTCTTTGTCATGTTACACATAACATGAGATATTTTGTTTTATGATACATCACAAAACATCTTTTGCTACATTCTTATAAAAATACCCTTCAAAGAGTTAAACAGGTGGATCGACGGAAAATAAAATGCGCCCTGCATAATAGGGTCATAAAAGAAAAAACGATTACTTCGGTTAGCGATGTTAGTAAAACACAAATAAGCGACGGATATTTTTTACAGCAAATTGCATAGGATTAGTTGCAAGAAAAGAACTGTATAAAGTTCTCAATACAGTTATAATATCTAATTGACTTTTCTAAGAACCTAAAAAGATTAATGCAAATTTAATATTTTTTATGTTAAAATAATTTCTTTTAATTCAAGAAACAAGTTAAATTACTATAAATTCGAGATCCTTTCTAAAATCTTGAATTATTTATTCTTAATATTTTTCTATTAAACATTTTTTTCTATTAGATTGAACATCCTAATCCATATACAAATTGTCGATGGGGAACACTTAAAATAATTGAGAATCGCCCAATGGGATCTGTAGTACCCTGCGCAACCGCAAGATCCGCTGGAAGGTAAACCTCTCCATCTTCGCGAATCCACGCCTCGACAGTAACGAATTCTGCGATGTAACTGGGGATGCTGCATTTTAATATCGCGCTGTTTCCCCTGATAACGTATTCGGTCAAGATCTCCGGATTGTAAGGTTGAGTGACGACTATGTGGGGAGTACATATTAAAATAAGCGTATGTTTTTGATTAAATCAATAAGAAATGTCGTATCGTATAAAAATAGCCCCCATGGTATGCAAAATAAAGTATGTATAATCGCTATTTTTAAGTCTTTTATATTATTTGCAGATGGAATATACGTTTTCCGCGAATAAATCAGCAAGAAAGAAGGTATAATTAGATGTCTACGAATAAAAAAGTTTTTTAGAAACATCATAAAATAAATCCCAAGTAAACAATCATATTTTTATTTAAAAAGCAGTGGAAATTATAGTAGAAGCAGTTTGAGGTCTTTCTGAATCACGGTGCCCTGTAAATACTTTTGTACATCTAAAATAGAGCGAAATAAGCAGGATAATGCAATCGTAAATCAAATTCCAGGAAAATATTGCTTTTGTTCTTTTCGCACTATCTTATTGCGTTTTCAATCCGTCAAAATGTGCTTACTAGACTCTGACATTACACCATGCTGAAACGGAAAATTTATTCCAGACTTTCCTTGCGCAACTTCCCTTCTCTACGCTCGTCCGTAGACACGGTGTCGGCTTATTTTCTTAGGCCTATCGTAATTCGCGGCGTGAGAGCTACCGGATGGTTCATTAACTCTCTCGTATGTACGTGCTGCCGCCGCCGTTCTGCCGCCCCGTCAGATCGGACCGCGTGGCCGGCGGAAACGAATCGTTACCACGTGCCACTTTGAACTTTGACAAAGTTAGGCGAGGGGACAGGGTGTCTGAGTAGCAGGGAGACAGGAGTGATACGACCGGAAAGAGAATTTCCTCGCTCTGTGTACTCATCGTATGTACTTATTGGCCGACACGTTTGCTCATCAGTGGTCATCATACAAATTGTGGAACGCTTGCGCATTATAAGTCAATAAAATGCATCAAAATGATCTGAGATGAGATACAACCAGAATAAGTGTTTAAAATATCACACGCGTAGGTTGCTAATTGCTTCTGAATGAATAAAATAATTTATCTTGCCTCACAAATACATATTTATAAAAACATGTAAAGATATAACAAAAGCTGCAAACGTCATAAAAATCTGTATCGTAAATATTTTTTTTCTATCAAAGAGGGATGTGTATCGTGATCAATAGCAAAAATTTCTAAAGCCTTGCTTTTTTCTTCTTTTAATAACGAGTTTTCCACATATTTTACTGATATAACGAAGACATCTTGTTATTGCTTTAGAAAGATGTCATCGTTATATTAGTAAAAATAACTGATATCAGTTTTCTTTAACTAGATGAATGAAGGAAGCAGAAAAATAGAGGAGAGATAACGTTCTCTCCGGCGTATCATTCCTTTCAGGATTCTGCTGTAAAAGGAGCGGTAAAAGAATAAGCGCACATGAATAGGAACACGTATGTTGTAATGTACCGTAATCAGTAGACGATCTGAAAGTCGAACCGTCGCTTCCCACCCACGATTCGACCGACACAAATTCGGCGACGAAGCTCGGTATGGTGCATTTTAAAATAGCCGCATTTCCGCGTATCACGTATTCCGATACCACTTCCGCCTCGTAATACTGAGTCACGACTGCGAAAGATAATGGCATATTATAATGGTGCATTGTGTGTTGCTACATCGCACATTGCGTGCTTCCGAATATCATGTTGCGTTACTGCGTGCCTAATCGAGAAGAAACAATTTTCTCTCAGTTCAGGACGCCGCGTAACATTCTTTAATTATTATTATCATGTCGTGCAAGTCATTACAGACAATACCTTGTTACGCATGTTGATTTAATCATTCCGTAGAAAATGAAATATATGTATTTCTCTGGAGAAAATTAGGTGATTACGATCAAAGAGATTGCAACATTAGAGTCGCACTCTGGCAGCTAGCATTATACAATTTGATCCTATGCTCCACTATGTAATTACGGAAACTGGTTCTTAGTAAGTGGAAGCCTCGTGATTCGACCTACTCAAGAAATTGCATTAGTTACGCAAGTCTCAAATAAAACACCAAGCCCTCCTATACTCGTGTAAAGCCAGCCATTTAAACACGAGGTAGCAAGTTCAATGTACGTTTCAAAAAGGTTGCTCTTATAGATTTTTACTTCAATTAATTTGAATATCAGCGAAATATCAGCGAAATTCGCGATACACGATACGCTGTCGTGACGAGAAGAAATATCTCGCGACGTCGACGACGTTGACCAGTTTAATTCGCTGCCCACGCGGGTTCCGACTTTCCGAATTTCCTAAAAGTTTCGGATTATACCGTTGTCCTGATCCGGATCGAAAGAGTTCCCTTGATCGTCCTGCCACCCAATAACCTGAACGAATTCTGCGACGAAGCTCGGTATACTGCACTTGAGAATGGCCGCGTTGCCGCGTATTACATACTCGTTGTTGACCTCTGACTGATAATATTGATGCACCACTGCAATAAACGATCGAAATAATCTGCGCGAGTCCGATTTTTCTACTGACAATGAACATAACGGCGTCCACTCGTACCGCTTTCATTTTCACAACGATTGGAAATACATTCAATGGAACACACGCAGGTCCGTGATGGAACATGTTTTATGACCGTTTCAAGTTGCTCGGTTGACATATTATCTTTACAATGCAAAATTACATATTCATAAAAGGTTTTTTTTAATCAATTTTTTTTCAAATATATGAAAAAATTAATTTTTGACTTATACCGAATGAAATCTCGACGACGTTGACGGCAGCTTTGGGCAATATATCTCGCTATTGCTCCGCGAGCAGAATTATTTGCGTTGTCGCATCTTATGGCCGGCAGTCGCCAACGCGAGCAGACATCATGATGGCACACGATCGATTGACTTTCAAGCCCGGTGCATGCGTGCGTATACGCACATGTACCCCAGATGCGTCGATACAATATTCCAAAAAGTTTAAAACAAAACCGTGAAATTTTCCTCGCTTTTATAAAATTATGTAAAATCAAAATTAATTGTAATTACGAGAATAATTGTTCCGTAATTGACATACTAACTACTTTCGTATTTTTAAGAAATACTAATGCATTAACGAGACCATAAAAATAATAGTATAAGTACTAATAAAAATGCATTTATTATAATTTCTATTGTTATTAAGATCAATTAGCATTGTTGCTATTAATTTCCAGAACAAAGGAAAGAGAGCAGAATGAAGATAAATATTATTAAACGAACTGATATATTTAAAGTACACAGACGGCGCGTCAGAAGCGAATACCCTGTGGTTTAATAGAAAAATGAGAGAGATAGCTGACAACGGTCAAATATCCGATCGTTTCGGCTAACGCTAGATACATATCGAGTTGAATATAACGTTAACGAGACGAATGTGACGATGTACGCATATATGTACATATACACACACACACACGTGCTAGCCGTGGAAGTGGAAAGTGAGCGACCCATATACTTTCGCGTTGCACCGCTCCAAATTGATTTGCATTTTGCCACCGTGGCAATTGAGATCAATATACGAGAAGCCGAGTCGCACGGATGGTGTCAGTCACTCAACCGAACGATGCATTTGTGCCATCGAACTGAAATATATGAGCGGGCAATAACGACATTATTTTCTAATTGTCCCTGTGCAAAGGGTATAAATGAATTGAGAAAATGCGTTAATAAAATTTGGGCGAGACTCAGAATAGAAAATTTAATGAGAGATTTAAATGCATTTTAACTCAATGGGTTTCTATAATGGCTAGGTCAAATGTGATAAATTTCGTATTGTTACAAATCTTTAGATATTTTCAGAATAATTTTAAAATTCACGGTTTTTAATTTTGTATAGATAAAAGATCATTATATGTCAAAGATGCAACGACGAAATTTTCTGCTCGCAAAGAGTTAAGAAGATCGATCAGTTCACTGATCAAACCCTAATCCTGTTTATACCAAAGTCATCGCCAGGTACGAATTCCTCTCCCTGATCCGTGTGCCAGGATAGGACTTTGACGAAATCGGCGACGAAAGAAGGAACGACACACTTCAAAATGGCACTGTTCCCACGGATCGCGTATTCTTTATTGACGTCGGTGTCGTAATACTGCGCCACCACTATAATTTCGTACACACAAAATAACGTTCACAATGCGTCGGGAATTATTCTGCTCCAGCCTCAACAGCTCCAAGAATTTTATGCATATTTTTCGTAAATGTAAGTTCCTTAAAATAAACATTTCCTTTAAAATTAATTTTCTACAAATAATATAATAGCATTTAAAAAATTCGTTACTGTGTATCTAACATTACAATATTTTTAGTAATTATTAATTTTGTTAAATAACCATTGTTACATATTTGTCCAAAGAATTATTTTTAAAAAATTTGTAAAAAAAAGTTATATTTAACCGATAAGTAACTAGAAACTGCTGCGGTCGATAAAGCACAGTGACGTCAGAGATTTAATGACATCACTGTGTGATTCAGAAAAATTTTCAATTTTGCAAGAACGCTACAATTATCATCATGTAAAAATAGAATTACATCAATGATAGAATAATTTTCTAATTCCTTGTGAGCAGATTGAGGCTGCAGAACGAATCAAATATAAGTTCGCATAAACGGCGGCGGCAGAGATTGCAAAACATTTGAAAGAGTAATATATAACATCGGACTACTGTATCATTCGATTGACACCGATGTCTTTTACCAAATTGAAATTCTTCCAAAGAAATATGTCGGATAAAATATGGAAGAAATAGTAAGCACGAAAATACGTGCTTTTAGCCATAGCTGGAAAGAATATTCTTTAAATTTTTCTATGTTTAGCCATCTTATATTCTATCTAAAAATATAACTTTAACTTTAAATTAAATTATATATTATTTATTTATAAACAAAATTGCAAATTCTTAAGTAAGAACTTCTAGTGTTTAAAATAACACTGTACAATAATAAGAATTTTAACTTGAATTTTAAAACACAATTTTTGTTTCATTACAAAATATGTTTCTACAATCTACATTTTAACAACTTTCTTCTTTTTTAATAAATGTTAAAAATTCAAATTGCCTTTATCATCATTTTAACTTCAAATGCCGTTTTAATAACTAACGTATACATTTATTTCGATATATAGAGAGTTGAATTTCTGTCAGAAATTGATATTAAATTTGAATTTATTGAGATTAAATTTAAAAGTGCTCTTTATTTTTGGAACATCCTCTATAAGATACTATAGATGGCTAAACGTTAAATGCTTAATGGGTAAAGATTGACACTTACCGGCTCTCACGTTGACATCACGGCTGTGTACTGAACCTGCAGGGGAACGTGCCAAACAGCTGTAGACCTGAGCATGAACTTCCTGACGGTAATCTTCAGCGCGGAAAGGAGGGAACACCAAATTTCCGTTTGGCAGAACCTGCGAAGGGCCAATAACCGTATAGAATGTAGAAACTAAATTAGTACATAATAACGCAAGCAACAAGCTTGGAAATAATTAAAGCGTCCTTCATGATTGCGTGAATGAATGTGGGATGGCATGGGCGTTTAATAATTCCATTCACATATTGCAAATAGGTATTTGATACTGAAATGACTGATAATTGGCGGCTATTTAGAGGAATAGTTCACCGTCCTACGCGTGACAGAAAAAACTTATTTTCAATCTCTTTTTTTCTTTCATTGAGAACATCCGTTTTGCTAACATTAATAGATGCGTTGATAACGTTAATAGATTTTTAACAGATGCTATACGCGTGCACCTATTTCAAAACAACTCGATAAAATCGACCGTGAATCTATTTCGATGTCAACTTCAATACTTATCTAAATAAGATTTTAATAAAGGAAATAGATAAAAATTTCACACAATACCTGTCGCAATCCGGGAACGTCTCCCACAGCAGTTCCATCGGAACGAACCCAGATGATATCCGGTTGTGGGTTTCCTCTTGCCTGGCATTCGACGACGGCTCCGGTTCCGTTTGAGAAATCAATCCGGTTTGGGGGCTCCTTGACAAACACCGGTCCCATAGATGCATCTTCAGCCGAGACAACTGCAAGCAGAATGCAAAAGTTTCAATGATCATGCACGAATGTTTACAGTGCTTAAACAATTTATTTCGAAAGCAATGTACACACTATTTTAAAGCATCATAAATTTTAGTATCAAATTTAACAATATTTGTTAACGTACATCACTTTCGAAACAAGTGGCTAATTTTTTTAATAGCTATTTTCTCGAAATTGCAAACGACATGCCACGACTTCAAGCAATTTCTTCGTAAGTGTAAGCTTTATAAGTTGAACTAATTTTGGTCCGAAGATAACAACGGAGTTTTTGTTACGGAAAAGGAATGTTCCGTGGAAACAGAACGAAATGTAAGGGACACTTAACAGCTTGTGGGAACATTAGCAACGAAGCTAATTAATTTAAAGTGCCACGAGCGACGAGACCTTTTGTCTCGTGTCTTCGGGTTTCGCTTATCATCCGTTTCAACCAGGATATGCGACACCCACTTGCAATTGGCGCGTTGCCAATTGCAGCAAACAACAGGTTGTCGGGTCTGTTATTGAATAATATGCGATCAACGTCATGTGACCATAAGGGAGACGACAATGCGTGATTCCTTTTCCGTCGTGGAGAGCTGCGCTCCTACCTCTATATCGGTACCATCGATAGCGAAAAGTGATTTCCATCGACGGCAAATTATGTGCCATTGACTGCAAATTTATTGCAAATGCATGACTCGCACGTTTTTCATATCTCACAAGAGACAAGAAAATCTTCTACTAAATACGAATTATAAACAGTTTCCGTGCTGCAATTCTCTTTCGATATAATGTACAAGCGACATTACACAATTATGATTTATAACTGGATCCAACAGCTGAGAAAGTATATTTCGGAATCTGTATTTATTTACCCGTGAAAGTAGCTAACTGCAATTTTTTATAACAGAATGATATAAAAGGAACACGAAGATACGAATGTTTAGCGATTCAAGTCGCTCCTTGCTGCAATGGATACCCAAAGTTTATGCAGGAGTCTACCGCGCTACTTTTCTCCTCGCACGTAGCCACCTACTGATTCACCTACGACGATTGCAACGAAGCGAGAGCGTATACATGTAAACCCGGTGCGGTATATAAAATCAAGAACCGGTTAGCGAAGCGTGCGCCGTTGGAGCAGGCGGGATACACGCGTAGGTATAAAGAACAGGTGTTCCGAATTTTTGTGAATACGCGCCTTCTGCTAGAGTCGGATCTCGACTCGCACAACTGCAATTTCATCTCGCCTATTCTAGTTCTGTTCCAACTTTCCTTCCGATCCATTTCACTCGATGGTAGTGGAAACTTTCCAAATAAAATTACATTAAATTGAAGCATAAGAAATGTCAGCTTTTTATTTCTTCTTTTGCGAGTAGGTATCTTGTATTTTTGTCTCTCTTTTCTTCTTCTCTTTTAAACCCCATCGCGGATATTCTCTTTCTTTCTCTTATCCCTTTTTCTTTCTCTTAAATCACCTCGTTAAATTGACAGTTATAATGGCGTTAGGTCACCGAAAGGGTTAAAAGGATTAAAGCAACGCGGGGGTATTGCAATGATTAACTGGGTGCGTACGGCAGTTTCAATGGTTGTGCATTTACGTCCAAAGGGTTACGTTGTTTATACGTTCCGCGGCACGTGCACGGTTGCAACAATAGCCCAGGGTATTGTCCGCGGCTATACACGGCGGACGCGGTACGCTGCACGAAGTGGGATATATCGATCGCAGAAGTGGCAAGTAAAATTTTTTTCCGAGATTAAACTCTCACGCATCCCCCGATGAAAGACGAGATTCTTCCCGGTCGAGAACCGCTCTGTAATCTATATATAGCGATAGCTTCGAAACGTCCGGACACGCTGCATCGAATATATTTCCAGCGTGCACACACGCACACGCGTGTCATCACGCGCGTGACTCACGTGTGTGTTCACATCTGCTCACGAGTGCGTGTAAACGTGTGTATGTAAACGTGTGTAAACGTGTGTATGTGTATGTAAACGTAAGATACTGCGACGTGCATAATAACGAGGAATATGTCGAAACCATAAGTCGACAAAGGTGTCAAAAAAAAGAAAATGAATCAACCGAACGGTCTTTCGAACCTTTTTCCGATTTTTCGTTAATTTAAAGTTAAATTTTAAACGCTTGTTGATACATTTTTATTTTAAAACTGCTATGCTCTGTGAAGTGTCATGCATTGTTTATGACTTTCTTTCGTTTTTCAGAGATTTCTTTAATTGTTTAATTATTTAGTTAAATAAAAGACGGAGTAATTAATTTAACTTTAATTCTCTTAAGCATTAATTTAATTAATTCTGAAGTATAATTTTTCAGTCGTTTTTTCAGAGATTTCAGAATCAACAGTCAGTTTTCTAAAATTACTATCTATTAGAATTACTCAAATCATATTTTGTCAACACATTAATGACCGCGAGAGTGGATATATAACTCTTTCACGTAGGTGTGTAAGAAGTCGCGAGAAATTCTCAAACTTCTCTTGTGCTTTCAGGTCATATACGGCTTCTATAACTGCGTCTATTTCTGTTACTTCCTGTTAGATACCAAAATATCGAATGTTTCTTTAAGTCTCGCTTACTCAAGCTCGAAGTGCAAGCAGTATAATCAATTTGGTCTCAATATCACTTTCAACGCAATAAAAATTCAACAAAATATTGTTAAATTGGAATTTAATTATGGACATGTAATGTAATTTATTATATACGTGTTTGACATAATTATAGTCGACGTATATTTGCAATTAGCACCGTTTGCGTCACAATTGCGTTAAAATCCGAAATGTCTCGTGTGTACGCGATTTCGAAAATTTTCCGTATAATTGAGTCATTCTAAATCCCATTTTTCACTTCATTGTGGTTATCGATGAAATTCCTCTCAAATGGTCTCTTTTTAATTTTTATCCTCAATTCAAGGATCAATTAAGAACACCCCAGCTTGATGTCATTATTCTTTTAATAATAAATGAAGTTCCACTGATGAAATAATGCAGAACCCGCATAATAGGCGGATTCACCTGGTGCGGCGAGCATCCGCGAGTGCAATTCTCTTCTCGGAGCATGATGTGAGCCTGCATTCTGGGAACAGCAGCTGTTCCTTTCCCTCGATCTCCTCGTTCCCTTCATCTTAGTCTCTCCTCCGACAGCTGCGCTTCGTGATCCGTTCGTACCTATACATCGGGACCTTTCACGGTCCCAACTAACCGTCTGTTCGGTTCAAAATACGCGCGGATACGAGATTACGTCGAAAAAAAGCAGCAGTGGACCGTTATAACGAATCAGGAATGAACGACATCAAAATCGCGCGACGACTCTTTATTATTCCATTATTGGAATGCAACTCTCACTGCTGGTCTTTACATTATATAGAAAAGAATCCTATATAACGTTTATAGAATAACAATTTCTAATATCTCTCTAAAATTCCCATACTTCTACATTTTATTATATCAGATTTAAATGTACAATAAATAAATGGAAATTAATTTTCTCAATTTTCACAATTTTGTTCTGCATCTCGGTAGTAGGAATTGATTAGAGCCATATGCTAATCTTGCTTCAATATGCTAATGATAGCTAGGAGAATTCAAGGAGAATATCTAGCATCCGTTGAGTATTTGAAGCACGTGTACCACGAAGAGCAGAATGCCGCGTCAGCTGATAAACTTTGCAATTTGATAAGCATAGGATGTGTATTTTATAAGAATGTTGCAGTATTCAAATATGTATCAGATTTGTAGTTTATGCAAAAAGATTACGAATAATTCTGATAAACCATCAGAAATCTCGTTGCAGATGCAACGACAAAATTGTTAGAAACTGCACAGTTTTGAAATAAACAAAAGCTTTAGTTTTGAAAGAAAATCTAAACTGTCCTAGATCTCTCAATTAATATCTGAATTTAACTCTTGTAATTTCTCCAGTTATGCAACACACATGTTAAGCATTGACATTTTCAATCGAATTATTCTTACTGGCTTAAAAATCTGCTTTAATTATCCTATATTATTACCTCCTATGTCATAAGTATCTTTACTGGTTTAAAATCTGCCTTTGTTGCTACATTATTACGCCTCACTGCAGTGTATTTAATGCGTATACAAAGAAGAGTCTCGTGGCCTGTCCTTCTATAAACATTTTTCCAATTTTCAACGCATATCACGTGACCCTCACGCATCAATGCTTCTCCGTAATTATCGTCGAGTCATGGCGAGAAACGCGAGATGAATGAGATCTTTTCGCGCGAAGTTGACTCACCCGTTGTCAATGCCAGGACAGCGACTAATAGCAGCATAGCGACGACGTGGATGGGTGTCTTGTACCCTCCGCCTGGAGGATCTCGCCACATCCTTACCGCGGCTCTTCCGAGTGCACTGATTTTCACCTGATTTCACATAAAATACACCAATTGAACGATACGCACGTCGTAAGGCGATCGCCGATGATCCGTCTCGATGATATCCCAATAATTTTATCAAAAAGAAAACGCGTTTCAAACCACGTTTTAGTATAAATTTATTATAAATTGACGGCTCATAAAAATTTAACAAGGTAAACACGAACAAGGTAAACTCTCGCTTTTAGTTCAAGGTCGGTTGGTCGGTAACTATTGGCAAAATCACTTTCAACGTGTTTAGCATACGTTAAGAAATTCGCGTAATAGGCTTCCAAAATGAATGGAATTAATCGTTCTCCACTGATAGAAATTATATAAATATGATTAGATTAGACGGCAAGATTGGTACTTCGGTAAACTCTGACTAATTGGTCGTAATAACAACATGTCTGATACATTAATCAATTTTGATTAAGTAATCGCATCAAATAATTTTGAACCAAGATTAGAAGTGGTAGTAGATCTGGCACACGCTTAACGAAAACATAATTATGCATTAAACGTGATTGCGTTTAGATACAATTCTATGAGAGTATTTATAAATAATTAATAGCATTTCATGTAATAAAATAATTTTTTAATATTATATGCCAGAGAATTATATTAAATTAGCATCTATTTTAAGTAGCTTTTCAAGCATTTCTATTAAATAATTTAATTGAATCACAAAGCAAAAAAAATTGGTGTACACGTATAATAGAAGAAATTATTGAAGAAATTGAAGACTTCAGTTTCTGAAGACTTTCTGTAAATAGAATGCCGCTTTTTTTAAGGATATAAAAGAATTGATTTTAATGCTCCGAAAACTTAATTTTCTGGATCTAATCGTCAACACGCGTAAATACACTATTGTAATTCTTCGTAAATTTTAAGATAAATTAGCGTCCAGGGTGAAGAACCTAAGAATATTTCCTGCACAATGCCTGTCTTCCTCACAACATCTCGCAGCAAGAACGTGCAATTAAAGACGCGAGGAAAATAATTCTGAAAAGCACGGACAGCATCTCTTTGGCGCGCGTTGGTCCGCGATAATCCGCGGAACGCGAGAGAGCGCGCTATCTCTTTGCGGAATGAAAGTGCACGTGCTGAATCGCTGATAGCAAGGGTTACGGTGTTGAAGAACAGCGGGTGAGTCGTCGTCAGCGGGGGGAGGGGGGGAAGAAGGGGGACGAGGGGTCGAAGGCGGAGAGGGAGCGATCGCGAGAGGGGATGAAGAGACGCGGAAGGGCGGAGGGAGACAAAATGTGGCAAAGTTGAACGGCTCGTCACGGGGCTGCTCCCTCTCGGCGAGTTTATTGATCGCAGGGTGCGGAGCGGTTCAATCTACCCCTCGCAACGGTGCGCGCCATGCTGCCATCCGGAGCTCGGGGGCTATATGCCAGGCGGCCACGACGGCGTCCGTGTGCGGACCCCCGCTTAAAATCCTCACGCCTCCTCTCCTGCCCCCCTGGCCCCCTGCCACCCCCTGCCGCAACGGGGGGGACGACCCACCGCGTAGCCCGAAATTATTCTCCGACCCGTCAGACGATGCGTCTCTCTCTCTCGCGGAAGTCGATCGTATCGGGACGTGACGCCCGATACGCGTTTTACGTCACCGTCGTTACATCATGTAACTCGACTACGGAGAGAGCCGCGGGAAAGAGAAAATTTATAGGGATGACTGAAGATTCAAGAAGCGACGGTGATCGCGGTACACTCACGTCGGCGTCGCGGGGACGATATTCGCGACCGTGAGACAAAACAAGACGTAAACTCGCTCGCGCTGGTGAACGGCTGATCTCCGCGCGAAAAAAAGCCGCGGACGATGAGAGAGAGCGAAAGAGTCGGCCGTCGAGAGGATCCCGGCGCGTCGTGATAAAAAGTCGAGGGCAAAAAGAACGGAGTACCGCCGACCATATGAGAGGCAGACCAACAGACGAAAAAGTATCCGAACCGCCGCCGCCGTGCTAGAATCTTTCATGTTTGAGAGAACGATTAACACAAAGACGCGAACGGAATCGTTGCCCTAGATCTTGGTTTCGCGGTTCGCTCTTCTTGTAAAACCGAGAACTGGCGTAAGAATTGATTCTCTTCGACGATCTCGGGGATGTCATCAAGGCCCTGCGACCATCAGCGATCGCGTTCTTTCGGAATTCTCAGCTTCCGCTGGCGAGAAATCAGAAAGGGGGTCGTTGGCGCGTTTTTAACCGCCCACAAATCGGCGCGCACACACACAGTGTGCCGTTCGATCACCACCGATACACACACACACACACACACACACACAGAGGCATGTACGCACTCGCACGCAGAGATACACGCACACATGCACACAACCACCCGCGATTTCGGCAAAATCGGCCGACGTCTTCGCCGATCCCCCGTCGAGGATCGTCGTCTCCTCGGCGAAGGGAGAAAAAAAGATTCGCTCACACGTACCGACGACGCTTGTCGTATATGTGAACTCGCAAGGGGGGCACAAATGCACGCCGACCAGATCGGAGGAGGCGAAACGAGAGCACTCCGGATCCGCGAACGACCGATCGTAGAGTGCGGCGTGCGGCGTCGTTTGCTTCGAAGCGGCGGCTGTTCCTCGGCTATCTCGAGGTCGGCGGCAACGGTGGCGCGGCGGTGGGGGTCGTCGGCGTGAGCGCACACGTTACTCCGCGCCCCGCCGCCAGGGATTCTACGCGGGATGAGGGGTGCATCGCCGGCAGGGCCGTCCAAAAGATTTTACTCGGAATGGACGCGAGAGAAGATGCGGAAAATTCAACGTCGAGACGCGCGCACATAATTTTAAAGCGGGGAGCACAGACTTTTGCATAATGCATAATGCGTAAGCATAAGAAAATTGATTGATCCATATACATGTGCATAAAAAAATAGACCGCATTATGCGTTAATGTTGTTATGTAAAAAAGTCTGCGTTCCCCGCTTAAAACTTTTCTCATAGAAACAAAATAATTTTTAGCGCGCCAGGAAATTTGTATATAACTTGCGTTTATATCGTTAAGAACGCACATAAATTTCATTTACACAGTAACCTTATATAATCCATAAAAGTAAATATTTGCAGGATTTACAGAAATCAAGAACGTACCAGATATTTCATACATTTCTATTTTTTTTATTACTCAATCAAGAATAAACAATGAAGAAATCCATATGCAATATGTTATTTTACGACTACGGTTATTGCGCGATGTATAATAATTAATCGTCTATTCAAACGTCTAATAAAGTAATGAAATCGCAAGAATTATAAGACTCGCAATTCGGCAGATATTTCGTCCGGGGTGCCAAAAATTAGTCGACCGGCACTACCGGTTAGCCGACCTTTGTCGCACGCGGCGGAAACGGCCAATGGACCAAATATATATGAAATATGTATATTTGTGTGCGAATAACGCGTACGTGTTTGCGCGAGCGCAAATTCGCGGATATTTGCGGAATGCTCATAGGCTCGTTATGACGATAAGCGATTATCGCCGATCATATAGGAGCAATAGCCAATAATATCCGACCATACACGGGGGGGGGAGGGGGAAGACATGATAAATATGATCGATAAAACACACCGCAACTAATTATAGCAAAATTTGCAAAATAAGTAATTGGAACGAGGGATAAGAAACGCTTCTTATCATTATCTTAATTCGGCATTATCTATTTATGTAACGATATTTGATAACTCCGATAAAGCGGTGCGGATAGTTTCGCACGGATTAGTTTGTAGTATTTTAATGGAGAAATATAAATATATAATTATGCAACGTAACAATAAAGTAAATGGAACATATTGAAATGTAGCACGAGAAATAAAAGTGATAATTTATACTTAAATGTTATGTGCATGATACATGTATAATATAGACAGTGTACAACACCAATTAATTTAATAATTCCTCACGTATAAAATGTTGTTTATTAATTTGTTAATTTCTGGAAAGTGCTAGTTTTTTCAATTAATAATTCTCTCAATTGTTTTGATGCTTGCATAATTGTGTCGCGTTTAACTCGGGCTTTTTATCATTTGGCTGATGAAATGATAAGATGAATAATTTGTTGTATGCAAATATGTTACATTTCACGGTACAATGTTACGTTGAAATTGTATTTACTCAACGATATTATAGAGAATTATTAGACTAATGTAGTTTAATCTCAATGTAATCGATTAATTACAATTATTTTAAAATGCTCTTGATTAAAGAACATTATCGCTTTTATAATTTTAATATTACAGTTTTTAATCACTTTTTTCCCTCTCTCTCTCTCTATCTCCCTAAAATTTTTTGAAGAATTATATAAAATGTGATATTTTGCTAAAGGTGCAATTTATTGGTTTGAAGAGAGCGCGGTTTTGAATGTCAGCGATATCACTATGGTCTTGCGCATTTGTGACAACTTTGACATTTCTGACAGTCTTACCAATTGTCTAATCGAGGTACTCGAAATTCCTGTTTCTTGTTTCTTGTAGCACGTCGGCCCATATGTAAACAGCTCAAAACAGCTACGTCAAAATCAGTCAAAATGGTAAATAAAAAAGAGGTGAAGAGCATCATAAAGGATTTGTGCAGGAATGACAAGTACTCAATTTTACTTCCCACTTACAATGAAGTGGAGAATTTACCGATAATAATATGGCTTATTGTGAAATATATGGAGGAGAGGTAACTAGACATAACCTAGAACCGATCAGAATTTATGTATAATTTAATGAAATAAAATGAAAACAAATAAACTTGAGCCGCGTAGTTGAAAGAAAGCTTTGTCAAACAATAATCTACATTGTTACAGCGAGCTTGCCTACGAAATTATTGTGATAGACGATGGTTCTCCAGATGGGACCCTGGACATGGCCAAGCAACTGCAACGTGTCTACGGCGAGGATAAAATAGTTTTAAAGCCCAGGGAAAAGAAATTGGGACTGGGGACTGCTTACATGCATGGAATTAAATATGCGACCGGGAACTTTATTGTTATCATGGACGCCGATTTGTCTCATCATGTATGTATTACATTAAGGAACAAATAGGAAAGTAATACTGATGTGTTTCAATAAAAAAAGATTTTTTATTTTTCAGCCCAAGTTTATTCCAAAAATGGCTGAGTTACAACGGTATCTCGAACTGGATATAGTCAGCGGTACGAGATATGCGCAGGGCGGCGGTGTTTACGGCTGGGATTTCAAGAGAAAGTTAGTCAGTAGAGGTGCAAATTTTCTAACTCAGATTCTATTGAGGCCTGGTGCAAGCGATTTAACCGGTAGTTTTAGGTGATGAACTTATAGATTTTTGCTCTAAAAAAAAAATGTTAACAGATTTTAATGTGTTCTTTGACATGGGATTTTATAATTCTAGACTTTACAAAAAAGATGTACTGGAAAAGCTGATACAGTCCTGTGTATCCAAAGGATACGTATTCCAAATGGAAATGATAGTCAGAGCTAGACAATTCAATTATACGATAGGGGAAGTGCCAATTACATTCGTCGACAGAGTCTATGGTCAATCTAAATTGGGTGGTTCAGAAGTTGTTCAGTTTGTCAAGGGCCTTCTATATCTTTTTGCTACCACGTAATTGAAAAAAATGTATAGGATAAGAAAAAAAATGATCTCTCCAGGTCAAAGCATTTAGGCAGCATCAGGAAGCGTATCAAGCTTCCTAACCAAACATTCCAAATTGTGTACTGCCTAAACAATTATATACACGTATAAATGTTTAAAAAATATATATATAATATATATCGATCTAAAATGTTTTAAAAATAAATTATTAAAATACCACTTTTTAAATATTGGTAATCTTATGTTGCTATTACATTTTCCAATTCAAACATGAAATGTTCTCGTCGCAAACATGATAAATGGGATATTAAATCAAAGATTGCGATACATCAGGCATTTTTGTCACGCGATATTTCATTTTGTAACGCGAACGTTCTCGCGCGAGAATAATCAAAATTATTTCAAAATAACACGTGCGCCTGCACGTGGCCATGAACGATGCAGAGGGAGCATGCGTACATAACGCTCCTCGTGGGCTCGTCCACCCTCGCCGCACCCTCTGACGTCACGCAGCCTCCATTTATTGATCCATTACGAAATTACAGTCTATATTTCTACTCGAGCCGACTCGAGTAGAATGCAAGACGCGAGTAGACTACATCAGTAGAATATCGGTATTTATGCGGTAAACAAACACGGTGTAACCTTCATGAAAATAATTTCCCAGGGATTCTCAAATACCGTAGCTTTCTCAATTAACTTACATTGAAAAAATTCTTGAAAAAAAATCCAGTTTTTTACTGAATAAAAAGAACAAACTGCCTTAACAAACAATGTTTTCAAATAAAAACACAAAAGATATTTATTCTCGTTAGCTTGAATAATTTCTTTCGAAATCAAAAACTGAGACGTTAAAAGATTTTTTAATCTAATCCACTCAGCAATGTAATTAAAATAGTATAAAAATTGAAAAGGATTAAAGTTTTAATTAGCAATTTTTAGCAAAAAAAAAACCTATAAATTTAGATTATGTTTAATTCCGAATTGCTTTTCAAATAAACCTATAGATAAGAAGAGAGAAACGTGAAGCGATTCAGTCGTCGTCAAGATCAATTCTTCACGATTGAGGAAAATAAATTCGCATTAAGTTTCTGATTTCCGATTTACCCCTTCCTTCCGAGAATTATACTCGACGATCAAGTTACGCGGAAATCTCCATCGACTTCGCGGCAACATCGGCGGTGTAATTCCCGATATCTGCGTCGCGTGTGCAAAACCGTCGCACATTCGCGAATACACGCATGCCTTTTTCGCCAGGAAAATCCCTCAACCTTAGTTAAACGGCGACGGAGAGAGTCGGAGAGACGGAGAGGCGGTTCTCCACTTCAGCTCCGGTAGTCGCGACGGTACGAAACCAGTAGTTCTGTCGCAAGCTTCGCCGCGGCCGGATGCGCGAGTGGGGTGGCCTGCGCGCCGGGGGTGAAACTTGCAAGCTCCCCCTTTATCGAGCTTGCAGATGGCTGTGCCTTTTAGATTTTGACGTGTCTCTCCGTTCCTCCCCGTTCGTTCGTCCGCGCGCTTCGTGCCGCAACATTTCAGTCGTTTCTCACGTCGTTCGCTCCATCGGTTTCCATTTCTCGACGATCAGCACCCCCGCGACATGCCCAGGAAAGTCGGATTCAACGTCGTCTACGCCACGAGTAAGGCTGCCAGGCACAGAATTGTGATGTTAAAACGCGTTATACTAACCTCGAGCGAGGATCGGGAAACAGTTGGATATATTACAAAGACCGAAATTTTGCTATAATAAATGAAGATTAAATGGACAGTTCCGTTAAACGGTGATGCCGATTACTTTAGCGTTCCAGACAGTGCGGCGGCTGCTCGATAGGGTGTCGGGGTGTCGCGATGAGCCAAGATAGGACGATTGGTGATTTCGGACCGTTCCCACAAAGATTAATTAAAGCTAAATCATGGTCTAACTGATATCATTTATAGGAAAATGTTCGGAATAAGAAAAATAGATATAGAATAAGACATTTCTCAAATACTCGACTCGTCGCGCTCTGAAATTCACCCCCTGCGGCTCAGATCCGCATGGCTCTCGGCACTTGAATTATTTCTGTCGCGATAGGGCGTCGGGATTCCGCTAGGATCGTTGTATCTTAACGCTCCTATCATCTCATATTCGGATACATTGATTTCTGCCGCGAGACGAGCCTGCGGTTCCCTCGGCTCGCACGTGTCCGCGGCCTGTTCGACGGGAGCAATAATCTGCAAGCCGTAACCACGGAATTACTTTTAAAAATGTATCTACGACGTGAATGAATTCGTTATGAACTATATGAACTCGTAACCGCGGAGGGGGTTGGCACGGCTCGGAACGACGTATACACTGTTCCGGGGAAATACGCGGTCGTAAATCGTGCGCGAAACCGCGATATCGCGTGACGACGTTGCGTTATTTCAAAACGCCTCCCTTCCGCATAAATCGTATTTTGAAAATCTAATTAAACTGCGGCATTTTGAGGGCCAATTTTATTTCTTGCGGAAACGCGCGCGAAATCGCAAATACCGCAAATGTTGTGAATGAAAATGCATGGCTGTGATCAGGGGAACGCTCGAGGAAGTTTGAGCATTAAGTAGCAATATCCAACACCACATGTAACTATATGTGCGTCAATAATTAAGTAACCGTATAGTAAGAACTTCCACGAGCGTGCTCGCTTGACATTGGCTTTTGATTGACATTTCGACGAAAGACTCGTAGAGTTCTCTAGATATTTCAATTAAGTATTATTATATCGCATCGTGATATTATCGAAAAGACTGATAAAATTATACTAAAGCGATTTTATATCGTTGCATTTTAATCACGTGAAAATAGTTTTTATTATTGTTTAACGAAGACACATTGCGATAAAAATATATTCGTTTGAAATTGAAATAGAGTGGAAAAAGTGTTCTAGGATAATTTTAAGCGCTCCCTTCGCAGTAGAAGGACTAAGCCTTGGATTTTATTCAGATTCTGAAATGTATTTTCAAGGCGAGGAGGATAGACACTCGTCGTTAGAGCTTAACGTTCATGGGCCGACAGTGAGAGGTTGGCAGAGTGCAAGGAACTGCACGTATCCTCAGGAACTGATTCTACGACTTCATGGGCCCACAAAGCTTACGAGAATACAGGTCCTGGCTCATCAGTACCTTATACGTAAGTGTGAATTTTAAAAGGCTAAACGGCTAAACTATTCGAATTATAATTCAACTTATCTTCCCAAATATGTGATAGGCACACAAATTATTAATATTACATCAATGATTTTGAATAACTGATGTCTCAAAAATTACAAGTTGCTAAAAATATATCTTTACGTTTTATATCAAAAAATTGAATATTTCGCTTATTTTTACAGAAATATTATTTATTAACTTAGTCCTAAGTTACTTAAAATACGAAATAGACAAATACTGATTCTACTACAAAATTTTAATTAAAATTAATATATTTACGTCAATAAATTATGTTATGAAAATAATATAAAAAAAACGATGAAAGAAGACCAGTTTTCTTTCAGCGCGGTTAAAAGCATTATTGTTTGTTAAAATGACGTTTCGGTTGAAAAGCAATTTGCTGACAATGAAAATCGAATTAACGAGCTTACCGTGATTTCTCGGGGCTATATTCGTCTCCTCTTCTTCATCTTCCGTCCGGCTACACCGTCGGAAATTAAAATGTACCGGGTGGCAAGAGAATCGTGCCAATTTTTGATATAAATTTACGGGCAGACGTACTAGACGTAGTAGATCTTCCGGTGGATACTACCGATGCAATTTCCGCGAAGAATGTAAACTGCTACGTCTACTTTGATTTCAGCTGAGAAGCTGGAGATCTGGACATCGAGGGAGGAAAATGCATCCGCTTCGACGGACTTCAGTTACCTGGGCTACATCACGCTGTCCGACAACGCGTCGACCCTTTATAAGAGCAGGGAGCTGAAAAGCGTGGCTCTTCCGGAGACGGAAGCGCTATCGCTGAAGCTCAGGCTACACAAACCGCACAGTAACGCGCACAACACTTACTGTCAGGTACGCGACTCATTGACAGCTGGCTAAAAAAAAACTATAAATATAAAGATTTTTAATAAAAATTAAAATAAATATGTAGCCCAACAAGTTGTTTGAGTAAAACAAGTTTAACAAAATAAGGTAAATTCAAGATATAATTGAATTATCGTACAGATGAATTTATTGAAATTGTTAGACAAAGCTATAGAAATCATTTTTCTATCAGGTTGGCCTTATAGCCATAAATATACTTGGCGAGCCTTATGGTCAGGAATTAGCCGGACAAGGGGATGCCCCGTACAATCCGCATTACATCTCGCCTTACGACGATCTGGCATTCGAAATGTACGTCGATCGGGAAGTGGCCAAAATCATAAGGCAAATGGAAGTGAAGAAGTTGCTGGCGGTGGAAGAGGAGAGATTCGAGTACGCTTCGAAATTGAAGGTCGCTATGGAGAACCTGAGAAAAGCGGGCGAGCGTCTGGGCAAGTACGAGTTGGAGAAGAAGTACGCCATAGCTTTGGAAGATTACGATAAAGCCAAAGCTAAAAAGGCTCAGGCTCAGCAGTACAGACAGCAGGTCTATCAATCGTTGGAGATACACAATCTGCTCGAGATCAATGGGGTAAGTAGCGTTCTTTGGAACTTCTCGCTAGCGAAAGGCCCAGCAATCATACTATAATTATCAAAAATGATGCAGCCTGTGGAGAAAAACAATCTGTCGACCGCGGAGGACAAAGAGCCGACGTCGACCGACAATTCGAACACAGCGGCGTTGCCCGACGACGTGACATCTCCCCCGAGACTGGTCATTCCACCTAATCGCGATGGTGCCGTGTCACCAACTGGTCCAGCACATCAACCACCTGTGTCGCCATTGCGTCAGAAATCTAAAAGTCCCGGTATAATCTGTCGAAGGATATCATATTATGCTACATTATCTTCTTGACGTGATTTAGATTCTTCGAATTTTTAGATATTTACGTAACGTCAAATTTTCGCACTCCTCAGAGGTAACCGACAGCCCTACGAACGGTGTCCATGAGAAGCAGAACTGTAACAAGGGATCCCTCAGTAGGCGGAAAACTAAATCAGCGGGCCCGGCCCTCCGGTCGAGTTACGAAGCCTACGAGGAAAGGACCATCCCCGCTCTAAGACAGTAAGATGGTACAATGTTGAAACATCATAACAATATCGAAACGGCACGATAAACTCTCGTTGATATTCATGTTTAGCTCGCACACAAACGAGTTTACGAGAGAGTGCCACTTGGACAGCGCGGAGACGAAAGTTACCTCGAAACTCAACGATAGAGAGAAGAAACAAGCAGCGTTACCTATTGCGGTTTTCGGGATGGAGATGGTAACGATAAAGATGTTTCCTACAATGCTTGGATATAGGATAAGTGATAACGATAATCGTATGCAGGTGGAAAAGTTCTATTCGAAACAATTCACGGACAAGGAGGAGGGACTGATGCAACTGAAAGAGGAATTGAAGAATTTCGACTCGGCGGTTTCGAAACATTCTCCGAATAAAACGGCCAGGGCGACAATCCTGTTGTTGCACAGAGCACTGAGAGACAAAGTCTTCAGCGTATACAGCTTGGCCGCGCAGCTAATCCGAATCTTCTTCGCCGAGTTCGCCGCGGACAGGTAAACTTTTCTAACATATAAACACTATTCTTACATTCTGAGGTTCAGCATCTGGTTTAACGTTTAACTGATGATTTATTAATGATTTATTTAGAGTGTCTTCGACTGAGATTGCCAGAAGCGTCGAACGTCTGCTGCCAGAACTTCTGACGAAGTCCGGAGACACCACCCCGAGGATACACAATATGGCAGTGCACACAATTCTCAGCATGGCAGACTGCAAATGCGTGCGGGAGTTGCATATAATACCGGTGCATCTGACCAGACCCGTCAACAGCAGCACGCATCAGAGGCTCGCCCTGAGCAGACTGGAGATGGTGGAGCAACTGATACTGAGCCACGGCATCTCGACGGAGAAACAAAGGTGATTCTGAACAATAGTTTTGGAATGCTCGAGCTCGCATGAAGCATGTTTACCAGAAGTTTTGAGGAATATTGGGCCTCTGCCATCGAAACGCAGTCCTTCTGACTCTCGTCTAATCGATCCGCAGAGGTCCTTCCTCAAACTCGACTCTGTGTTAATAAAACGCAATTACTCTGATAAGGTATTGTAACTGTTGTAGCGGGCTGACTTGTCGGACATTATCCGAATTAGGTTCTTCCGGTCTGCACCACCCGGCTGAGGCAGTGCGAAAGGTCTCTGAAAGGATTCTCGTGTTGGTGTACAAGGTCAATCCCAGACTGGTGCGAAAGCAATTGCCGCCTGACGACGACATAACACGACGGAACCTGCTATATCGCCAGCTCTTCCACGAATTCGATTTGATCGATCTTCAGGTACGCAATACTTGGATATGTTATAAAAGGGAGATGTTGTAATCATGTTATGATTGTAGAGAAAAAAGGAAGCTGAATCCACCCATAAAGCAACAACGACGCCTACGCGAACTAGATCTACGGAAAATAATGTAACTAATTTAACCAAATCACCCTCGAGATCAAGCCCGGTCGTGAGTACCGGAAGTTCAACGAGTATTACGTCTCCGTCCGAAAACAGTACCGATCATAAGGGAGATAAGTATGTACAATGCGAATTAAATTCATCGGTCGCAAAAGATATGGAGAATCTTAATGTTTGTTTTGTTTGGGCAAATTTTGCAGAATGTGCATATTTTGCCTGTCGAAGGGTCAAGTGTACTCCGAAGAAGGTCTGAACATACATTATTGGAGAACTTGTCCTATGTTAACGAAATGTGAAGCGTGTAAGCAAGTCGTAGAAATTTCTTACTTGAATCTGCATTTGTTAAGTAAGTACATGAGAATTTAATACATTTAATTGCGTTTAATAATCAAAAGTATTAAATATTCTATAAGTAACATACACAACTGAGAAAACATGATCAATTGATAACTCTTGCACCTATCGAAATTAGATATTAATTTCATAATCATTTTTTTACAGATGAATGCGACATGAGGAGTAATTACGTAAAATGCGATACATGTAAACAGGCAGTGAATGAAAATGCGTTCGAGAATCATAGACAAGACAAAAAATGCACAAGTATTATATACTTTGCTTATTATTCTGATACGATATGACAATAGAGATCGAGTGAAACAGGAATTTAAATCTTGATTTGTGTTTTAGAACCTATAGAGGGATATGAACGCTGTCCCCTTTGCTCGGCTTTGGTCAATCAAAACAAGTGGAGAGAACATCTCATGGGGGAACATCCGTGTGTAAATAATCCACGAAGCAAGATCGGGAAAAGTTGTAAGTTACGATATATTTCCGACTTGGACAAAATATAAATTATTTAGACCATTTGCAATCAATCTAGGAAGGATTCTCTGTAAAGCTTTTATGAGAGTATAGGAGAACTCTACAATAGTAGAATAAATTGTTTTATAATTTTAGTGAAATTCGAAATTTCCATACGATTCTAGGTTCGAAATCACCGTCTAACTCGCAAAGTATCAGCGGCAAGTTAACATCACCAACGGGTAGAGATTACTAGCATCAGGCAACAACCTCGAAGCCAGTGGAGAAATTCGACAAGTCTTAGAGAAGGGAATTTTGATTTTATTTATTTCATAATTTATATATATGTTATATATATATGAGAGAGCTGTTCAACGTTTTTTATATTTGTACCTATATATGTATTTAAACCATTTTTTATAGAAGAACCCATCCTTTATTATTAGAGATTCATATAGAGCGGATTATTTTAATTGTAAGTTGGAAATTCTGACATATATATCTATATCTGTCGTCTAAATCTATATACATATATGCATATGTATATGCATATAGATTTAGGCGACACGCTTATTAATTTAGCTAGTTTGCGGAATCTACGTGGGGGATATAACTTGGTTAAAACGTAAAGATATTAGGAATTGTTAATAGGTTTCATTCTTTTTATGGTTGTTGCATGATATTCAAGGATATATGCAGGAAAGTGCATCAATTATCAAAGGCAGTGATATTAGATGTTACAAAAACATCAGTCATTTCAGGATTAATGATTCCTTGCATCCGGCCATATTTATAATGAAAATTTGTACTATATATTACACATTATGGCGAGAAGTGTCCAATAGGCATTAGGAAATGGGAAGATCTTTATCGCTCAAAAAACGTTAGATATCGCATGTAATTTCATAAAGTAGTTATTTCATAGAAAATGGACAGTAAAAATAATCATTCCATCATTTCATCGTCGATGTTTTTATTCCATAAAATCATATTTTTTTCTTTAGTCTATTTATAATATAATTTATACACTTTTCGGTATAAATACTCGATTATTACCAGATCGGATTAACATATTCCCCTTAAGTAAGAAAAATTAAGTCCTTAGTAATTTAATCTTACTTAATTTATACGTGTATAATATGTGTATGAAATTAGAAAAGTTGAAAAGTCTTAATTATGTCAACGAACAATTCAATTATTCATTATGTTTCAATTGGCATCTCTGTACCATCGACATTTTTATGCTATCCTTGTTCTTCGTTGTACTTTTTTCATTAATCTTCAGTTTTAATTTCAGTTTCAAATTCAGTTTTAACATCACTGTTGTTGACGTCCTCGGCTAATGCAGCTGCGCGATTTTCCTCGAATTTATTTTTCTCTGTAGAATTATAATGTAAACAATAAGATATATTCTTCCACAATAGTATGACGTTATTACAAGAAACATACCAAATTTAGAACAATCCGCTCCTAAAAGCCGTAAATAATGAATTGCGTCGCAAGTAGGCACATATGCCCTAAGAGACATTATTCCCCTCCACCCTACCAGCTGAAGATTTAGACGATTTAGATTGTCAGTCTTTTCTTCTTTATATAAAAGTATACAGCTTCCAGTTGCTTAAATTAAACATATTTTTTAAGTAATATTTATGAATCATCATGTAAAAAAGTATAAAGAAGCAAAAAAAGTACTATTATATTTACCAAATTCCTTGAGACGTTCCTGAGTGTTTGAACTTAATTTTACAATTTCAGGTGGTGTGTGTGGCTCATCATTTTGTAAAAGCATTATTAAATCCTCTTTCGAGATCTCAAGCTTTCTGTTATCACTTATGTAACGAATGATACTATGCATTCCTTCTTGAGCAAGTCTGAAGGCGCAATTCATATTTTTATTGTCGCACCGCACAAATGTCTTAACACCAGTGTTGATCATCTTTACTCTATTCTCATTAGAGATCACTATATCACGAATTGCTGGCGACGTGAAATAAATATTTTTCTTTTTTCCTTCGTGACATCTCACTAATAAACAACGTGGATCTAAATCGTCAGATATACCATAAAAATCTCTGAAAACATATCAAATGATATATAAAAAGCAATTATATTAAATAGTAAAAGAAAAAAAAACTGGAACTCACTTAATAGACTGCCATACGTCTTCTGTTTCGTCTTTAAAAAAGACAAATGGGTCCTCTCTGTAACCGACAATCCTTCTTCGCTTTTTTTGTGGTTCCCGTGATTTCTTTTCTTCTTCAAATGTTCTTTTTCCACTTTCTGAAAGCTTTGTATCTTGCGAAGCTTCTTCTTCAAGAATATGTTTTTCCTTCTTTTCATTATCATTTGCGTCTTGTGCATTTTGATTTAATACACAAGTTTCATCTTCCCATGGCAGGGATTTTACTTTCTCCAACACGGCCACGAAAAAACCTCCAGTATCTTGATGATGTGGTAATATTCTCATACTATAAAATTAGCAAAAATATAATCCACAGAAATAATATATTTTTATCTGATAACAATTTATTTGATATTTACCAACGTTCAAGATGAAACTTAGAAACTTCATTTGCTTCTGGAGGAAACATTTTCGGCCGTACTTGGGTCTGCCATTGTTCTGGAACATCATCCCATCTATCGTAGTATTGTAAATTTTTAGATGCTGGTTTCCAATGTGTGACACCTAATTGCAAAATATACTATCATACATATAATATGTTTTTAAAGATTTACCAATATCGTTATGAATATATTTTTATACATATTGGTATCTTAAAACTTACCAGGGTCACATAGTAATCCTGGTACTAGATGTCTACAATCAATTAATTGTACTGAATCTCCAGTCTCACGAAGAAGCCTATGAAGTACTGCTTCATTTTCAATGGGGTTTAGCGAGCATGTGGAGTATACCATCCTTCCACCAACTGTTAGCAATTCTAAGCCACGTTTTGCTATCCTGTACTGAATTCTATAAAATAATTGAAATTAATATTTTCTACATTGTTTACATAATATATAATTTTCCAACAAATTATATTAATTTATACCCGTGGAGATTATTGCCATTAGCAGGACTCCATTTGCACCATATATCTGGATTCTTTCGCATAGTACCATCACCACTACATGGGACATCCGCAAGTATCCTATCAAATCTATCAAAGAAACAAAACTTATATAAAAATGCTAAAGATAATTACTTAAATATTTTAAAGTTTAAATTCCTACTTTAATATATCTTTTGCACCATCTGGTTTTGTAATCATAAAGTTTGGCATAACTGATGAATCGTGGTTCGTAATAAGAATGTTTGGACTGTTTAATCTTTTAGCTTGGTGCACCAGCATGTAGCATCGATTGTTATCAACATCATTAGCTATTACAAAACCCTCTACGAAAAATATTAACATTTGCATTACGCTCATTTTTTACAGTACAGTTTAGTATCAACTACCTGGAGGATCATTTCCTTCGTCCGCATGTATCATTTCTATAAGTTGTGCTGTCTTTGATCCTGGTGCCGCACACATATCGAGAACCTTGTGCGAAGGTTTGACATCCAGAACCAAAGGAGGAACCATACTAACCACTTCCTGCCTGCTGATACTGCCATTGTTAGTTTCAGCAATAAGGAAATTATGCAGCCTAAAGTACGCCTCAGATCGTCGGATATCTTTCCTGGTTAATTGCAATTGCCAAGCTAGTTCTTCTGGATAAAAGGGTAAACTATGTAATATGGTTTTTGCTTGACTATTAACGTCTTCCTTATCACCGCCGTCCAAATTTGCATTCAAAATCCCTTTGAAGAAATCACTTTTGATTATTTCCAATAAGGCTTTAGCTTCAGCTTTTGAACCAGTAATACGGAAAGCAACTGGCAGATTGGTCCTCATAGTGCTGATAAACGCATCCCATTTATCTTCTGGTACTATTCCTTGTGTCTTATAATAGTTCTCAAAATCATTGTTCTCACGAATAATATCCGCGTAGCTTTTATGAGGAGCACTACTCCATTCATCCTTTTTCTACAAATAACAATTACATGTCAACACGCATTTCAAATTCACAATGATGTCGAATATTACATCAGATAAAAACATACTGAACGTGTTGTTTTAAAAGAGCACAAATGTGTACAAACTTGTTACTATGTCACGTTATTATCTATGTAAATGTAAACCATATAACCTCTAATATATTTCATCTTCAATATTAATGGATAATCATACCTTCTGCTTCTCACGACGTTTCTCAGCGAAGTTCTTTTTCGGTTTATTTTTTCGGCCTTTACCCATTTCTTCGTAAAAATTACGTGTTTTTGATTAATAACAGGATATGTCTCGCTCGCGCTCGCACTGCATACACGTGACAAGACAAACCGTTTGTTCTTTTCCAAGAACTTCCTGAACTGGTGCACATTGGTGCACCTAGTGCAGGGTGCAGGGTGCAATGAGAGTGAAACAAAACCATAAACATATAAATATTAAATAATTAAATAGACTGCACATGTTAAAAAAAAAATTATACCCCCAATAGCGGTTAACGACAATTTTATACATCACCATCAGTTTAAATTAAAAAAAAATAAATTTTATAGCGGTTGAAAAATAAAATTTATAGCCCAATAGCGGCGCAAAAAGAAATTCATACCCGAACAGCGGCGATGGGAAGGCATGTCTCACCTTTGACTCGAGATCAAAGAGTGATATTTATATATGATAAACTCAAATTTGAATTTTTATTGTAGAAGCTTGGAAAAAGTGTATATAATAAATCTTTATTAAAACAAATATACATACAATTCTATTAATTTCAATATGTACGCTTGATACGTCATTGAGAAATCATTTCGTGTAGGCAATTCGATATAATTTAAACATCTATCCAGTTAAGAAATAATCTCATAACTATTGATCTCTGAGTTGCAACAACAATCGCAATAATTCATTCATTATTTGCTTCTAACTTATAAAATTTTGCCTGCAGTAGAACAAAAATTAAGTTAATCGAAATCAATGCTAACTGTTGTTGGTGCAACCAATCTATATATATATTATAGAAATATTTTATGTACAAAATTACAATGCTGATTTTCCGCACTGTTAAAGGACAAGGCCTTGGTAAGAAAGCCCATCGGGGTCTGGCGATTCCATCCTATTTCTTAAATGTTCTAACGTATTTGCTAAATGTTTTTGTATTTGATCAGTTTCTTCACTCGCTTCCAGATTGGGAAGTTCCTCTCTAATTTTCGCAATTACTTGATTCAGTATTTGGACGGTTACCTGAAACAAATATCAATTTCAAAATGGCAACTCAAAAAAGATAAGTTAATATGCTACTCTCTGATCTTACAGCTGTGTTTCCTTTTTCGTAAAAGTAAATGTAATGATTCAGCAGTTCCACATACAGTTGCACTTGCACAGATGTATCCATGCACTGACTCGCTATTCGAATACCTTTCTTCAAGCAGTCCAATACTTTACCGCCTTCTTGCATCTGAAAATTATATTACATTTCTTGTACAATTTATTATACTTTAGTTTATCTCATATAATCAGGGTTAGATTTATACGTACCTCTTTCCCGCCCGTAGCCAAAGATTTTCCAGACCAAAATATGTGCGAACACGTGGCGACTCCTCTGCATTGATCTGGTTTTCTCAACAATTTGCTGGCATATAAAGCGCACTGATTGCGTACGGGCTCAGCGTTTTCCTCGCCAAAGCAACTCATTTGCTCGAATGTGGCGATGATCAAGGTGATTGCTGCGAGCTGTGCCTTCGAATCGCTTATTTCATCCTCATATATCGAGAACGCTTGACTCATGAATTCGTAAGCAACCATTTCGAAATTATCAAAACGGATTTCGCCGATTGCTATCGCGCCTTGCAGAAATAGTCTTAATGGTAGTTCAGCTAATTCAGCTTTCATCAGCGCTGTGATGGTCGTGTGACAGAACTGAAAAATTTTTTGACACTTCTTCTGCCACATGTCATCCTGGAAAAAAAGGAAGGAACATCTTTATCATTATTCTGATGATCTCATCTCACTAAGGAATACAAACTACAAACCTGATCTTTCAGTGCTTTGTATGTAAAAGCCAGTTGATAACTTTGAAAAACTATGGGAGGTAGAGTAAATTTTATTCTTTTGTTACCGCCAGCACTGAAATGCTTTCTCGCAGCGCTTAGTATCATATATTGCTGGTCTGGCGTTTCTGATTTAAAATGATGTATTAGTCTTCCAAGCAATCCCTGTTCCTCAGCAAAATCTTCAGGATCTTCTTCTATATTAGGTTGATCTGGTTGATCTTGGACCAAGGAAGATACCATGAAGAGCACTGCGTCTACTTGTTCTTGCGTCGGTATCAATGTTTCGTTCTCCAAGATATTAGTTATTATATATATAGCCAATGATTTCCTGCCCTCATAATCGAAATATTCCAAAAGGGGCGCATAGTGTTCAAGTTTGAGTACAGTTAATATATTCTTATAATTATCTACGGGAATTTTCATTAATCTAACTAGTTCTCTTGAAACGGCACTATTATACTCCAATCTGGAAGATAGACGTTTAACATACAGTATATAGCGAAATTTAATTATTTAACATGTCTAATAAATCATACTCACTTATCAACATTTTGTTTCTGGAATATTTGGACTGTTGTAAGCAAAACTTTATCCACGTAATCTACACGATCAGGATAACATTTATGTGCTAAGTTTATGAGAGCCACCTGAAGGGACACAATATCTTCGGGAGGCATATCTTGTCTCGTCTACAAAAAAAATTTTTATACAATTATATATGTGAATTAAGTATGCTTTAATTAAAATATAACGTAATATGTTTTGCGACTATTCTCAGACTTAAACTAATAGGTAAGAAATTTTCTGGTTTTGAATCATGGTATTATCAAACATTGTGCAGTATCTAATAATCATTGAATAGCCATTCTAACATAATTAGCAATGAAATTTATTCTAATTATAATCAATACCTGTATAATAGTTGCAATTTGGTCACTAAATACATCAAACAGTTTAACGTCTTGTGGAATTCCTGGCACTTGGTTAGGACTTCCCGGTCCTCCTACGCCGTCGGATCGTTGACTAAAGGCTGCAAGTCGATCGATCAGCGATATAATAATATTTTTAACATTTACTCCATTTTGCAATTCCGCACAGGACTTCAGAAATGCGTTTAACGTTTGTAAATGGAATTCATCGGGAAAGACCTAAATATGTAAAAGAAGGCATGAATTTTTTGATCGTTATTTTTTAAATAAAAGATTTATGTTATAAAAAGATTTACTTGAATTATACACTCCATAAGATATTCCTGTGCTATTGCGTCCCTACAACTAACCACTTGTTCCAAAATTCCTGGCAATACAAGCTGAAAGCAGATTGATAAAATCTGGTTAAAAAATAAAGGGATTATGAGATTAAAAATAGAAATTAAGGCTGCATTCCGATATTCACTGTCAGCAACTTTCAGTACTGAAAATCTATAGTATAAGTGACGTAAAATATAAATTTGCAGTACTGACAGTCAATATCGGAATGCAGCCTTAAAAAATTAAATTGTACCTTTTTATATTTATCCAATGTTACAGATTCCAGTTGACTAAGTCGTACAAGATTCGTTCCGACTAGAATTCGAAGCTCTTCCCTTTCCCTTTCTCTTCTTTCTTTATCCCTACTGTGACCTTGATGTTGCATTCGTACCCATAATTTATTCATTTCCGCAAAATTCATTAGAACAAAATCTATGCTGTCACGAACCTGAAAATAAAATAACAAGAATAATAGTGTGCAGAAGGAAACTTTCATGGTTTACGAAATACAATACATACAGTCCCATCTTCATCGTCCCCTTCGGAAACATCTGGCAAGATATTCCTTGTGCATTGTAACAAATAATTCCTTAAGAATAGACCACGCAGCGGATGTTGCACGCCCCTACACATTTCCACAAGATCTCTCAGAAGGTCTCTTTTCAAGCCAGGCGTTGTCTTGATATAGACCAGACCAACAGTGATAAGCAAGTATCTGGAATATTAATCGGAATATCTCATTCTCCAATGAGAAAATAACAATGTAAAATTACAAGGCAGATACATACAGTCTAGGCACAATATTACCAACATATTGGACCAATTCATAGAGATCCGTAACTTTTCTCCCTTTTTGAAATTCATCCAACAAATAAAGTTCCAAGTGCCGTAACTCATCTGTGATTGCCATATCTAATAATAACTGTTATAAGGAATATTTACAATTATCAAACATCAAAGCCAGATACTCATATTGAATATTATAGTTCTCAAGCTCTGTCATTAAATAATTAATAAGGATACATAATTCATAATAGCTTTTTGGACTCAGAAGGGAGGTTCTGAGCTCTCCTAACATGGTAGAGGCATGTTTTAACGCATCCATTAGCTTGGATTTGTCCAGACAGTGTTTCATCTGAAAAGCCTGGACTTTCACTATGCCGATTGCGTCCTCCAGCAGCTTCTCCTGCTCCTCCATTCCCGTTATGGCAGGTGTCATTGGCTGCGAGAAAAATAAAGATACCTACCAGGAACACCAGGTAGTACCCATGCTAGGTAAGCCATCCAACTCAAGCATGCACTACGGACTCGATGAAAATATATTGCGGAAACAAGGACGATCTATTCGTAAAAGTAGGGGCACTGACAGCAAAGCAAAAAACATAACTCTTCAAACATAACGCCACACGATACATATGTATTTGTCTGCAACTGACTGTAGCATAAGAATTTGTTTATGAAATCATTAAAACTTGACGACTTATTAAGAAATAATTGTTTTGATAGGAACAAACATCAAGTTACGCCGTAAATAGACTATGGAGTAAGATTAAAGTACAATAATAAGATACATATATTTTCTTCGTGACTTATATAAGCGTTGACCGCTTTGTACAGAAACTAAAAAATTAAGCATTCAGTCCTATATTATTGAAAATATCGACGAAACAATTCTCAAACATGTTTGCGACAGATAACCTGTACACAACGTTAGGCTAATTCCCCGCGAGATGATCAACACCACATGGATCGAATTTAAACGGATACTACTTATCCTTGCAAGCGAAATTGCGAAACATGCCTCTGAAAATTCTATGGTTCTTGTTCTTACCATCTTCTTGGGAAGAAGAGTATACAATTATTCGTCGCGCACACGTCTCGGGGACTCTGGTTGACAAGACACCAGATACGCCCGACTCCGCCAGAGTTCCGTGGAATGGAATTCCTAATCAGACATCAGACTATCAGACCATGGTGGAAGAACACATGTGCTCATACTCGTGACGAATTTCATACGGTTCTGCGCAGATGCCAGATGCAACCATTTTTAAGTGTCAGTTTCAAAACATTTAAGGTTGTACCAAGTAATTTTTATAAATTATTAAACAATTTATTTTTAACTTTAAATTATGAAAAGAATTTTATATTATAAAATTTTATAATTTAATTTTTTAAATAAAAATTATATATTATATTATAAAATAAAATGGAGCAAGAAAGGAAGAGGTGTGGTATTATAACAAATATGCAACCACTTTTTTTGTACAAATATATTTATTGTAACCCAATGTATGCAGGGCTATGTCTGATTATCCAAAGAGTGTGCATTTGTAGGAGTCTGCTCCTAGTGAATAATAAACCTTTCTGTGAATCAATGCCAACACACAAAAGCGAGGCAATTGTAAAGTGTAAAATATTATTTAACCTTCAGTGATCTCATATATATATCCAACTCGTCTTCAGACTCATCGTTTTGATCATTGCACTCATTAGACGTAAGAACGGTTTCAGGGGCTTCAGAATCAAAATACTTTTCTTCTTCATCTTGATTTCGTAATTCTACATTATCATAAGCTTCATTGTCATCTACAGTGCTGAAAACAAATAATAAAAGTATATATAAAGTAACTGTTGTATTTAAATTTCTGAGAAATATCATAGCTTTCCATTACTTTTATAGTTGTTATCAGAAATTGTAAAACAATACATATGGTATAAATATCTTTAATTTAAATTTATTTTAAAAATTATTATTTAATTTCTATCTATTATATTTGTGTATTAAGAGATATACGTATATTTTAGTATTTAATCATATAAATTTATTATAAAAATATTGTGTTAATAATAAATTAATTAAATTTATATTAAAATATTCTAAAAGGGTCTATAAATATTTATAGATTCTTTATATTATATTTATTGATTAGTAACATATACCTATAATCAAAATCTCTATCTTTACCATCCAGGAAACTCTGATACATGTTTGTAACAAATTCTTGCCTAAGTAACTTTATCTCTTGGTTTGATATTTTACTGCTTCGTAATTTCTTGTCTCTATCCTTATTCTTATCTTTTACTTCATCTAAATCTTCGCCCCATTGGTGACGACTCGGTTTATCAAAGTCCGTCTTGGATACAATGCTGGTTCTGCTATTATCGTCGTTATCGTCATCTGAATCATTCTCCTCTCGCACTTCGGCCTCCTCCTTCTGTTGGGATTTCAAGCGTTTTTGTAATTTGTCCCTCTCGACAGTTTCCATAAGTATATCCACATAATTTGCACTTTGCGTATCAATGGTATCTCTGGCTTTCTTCTCTTCCTCCGTCAAATATTGCCCTACTAAGTGTTCATACAACAATGGATTTCTCTTCATCATTTCACATTCGCTAAAGTAGTCTCCCTTCTCTATCAACGTCCTTAAAGCTTCGTATCTTCTGTTTCTGACGTCGATATGTCGTGTAGAATTATCAAAATATCTCCGCAACCTGTTTACGTGATAGACCGTCTCGTAATCCTGACTTTTGCTGAAATACTCCAAGTGCTCCACCTTCAAATAATGTCCAAATTTTGATAGAAACAAGCAGTGGCTCTTTTCCAACAACTTCCCAGCTATGGCACGCTTCTCCTCGAACGTCAGCTCGGGTTCTCCTTTCTGCTGGCTCTTGAAAATCGCTTTGCTGTTAGCCACATGGTCCAGAAGCTCGTTCTTGAGATCATCTTTCTCCACGTCTGACATAGGAAAGTCCATGCTCTGTTTACTTTCGCTGTTCTTATTCCCACTCAACGGAGAATCTCCCCTCGCTCCTAAAGTCATGTTTTCCTGCCGAATGCTTGATTCTTCGACTTTATTCATCAGAAAGTCAAGTCAAGAGTGACAAATGGAACAAATTGCTATTTGTGTACGCTGACGTATCCTCTGCTTTGTGTTGATTGTTGCAGTTAGTATAAGATTAACCTAGGAGGCACACGAGGGATACGTCTCTCTTCGTATCGCATCCGTTTCCTGCGGGATTACATTTGTGTTGCGTATTATTGTTGTTACTGGTGATAAATAAGATAAATGAGATAAATAAGCGTGATTTTCCGTACGTGCGCTTAATTTATCCAGAATGTTTTGCAAAAACTCGCCGGACAGTCGTCACCCAAGGCTGCGCGTCGCTGTGAGTCATTACCCAAGGGAAACATAACCTGCGAGAGCGATCGCCGATGTGAAACTGTGAAAACGCAATTAACAAAATATTTATGCAAGCGGGAAGGAAACGATAAATACTGCGGGCTTTATTGGTGTCGCGCGTTTCAATATATATGGGAATTCGTCGGCCGGCAGGTACGTTCTCCGAATACGCTGATTGACGTTGTTTACTGATGTTGTAATAAGCCTCTTATCTGTTCCTATAATTGATTATCAATCAAGTAAATCGCCCATGGTATCGTCTTACGGTTTGTCATATCACGGATTTAATATGCCGTGATATACCTATATTTATTAGTTGATTAACGAAACACTGTCTTATCAGATAAGACAGAAGTGATATAAAAGTTTAAAAATTGTAATAATCTCTTTAAATAAAATAACAAATAATGTTTTATTATATCTATTTTATTGTCATATACTTTTTGCTGTTTGATATATTTTGAAGAAATTTTTCCTCGCAATTTTAAAAATATATGCCTGTAACAATACAATAGCAATACCATAGTGCTGTGTTTATATGTCACTTATATCTTTCGGTATAATTTTGGTTCACATTGCTCCATAATATTTGTTTAACCTATTAAAGATAAAGATTTCTTTGTCATGAGTTAATTTTAATTACCGCAATATTGTAGCATGGCGGAGAATTGGTTGGATGTGGAAAGATGGAAGTGGAACTGGACCGAGTTATGTGGACATCGTGGAGGCATTAATCCTTTGAATCCTGAAACCCAAGACCTAAGTGTATGTTTCCAGCAGCTTTGTCTTCAGGTAATGTAATAAAATTTCATCTCACATTAAATGTGAAAAACAATAAATTAACGCAATTGGCTCATCAAGTTTATTTCTCAATTTTCAGATACCAGTATTAGCTTTCATAGCTATAATTTCTGCGTACCATTGTGGAAAAAGAAATACATCTTCGTATCGACAGCAGCATGCTTATCATGCTATAAACCTAAGGATCTTAATTACAACATGTCTTGTGATATTGCCTATCATAAGGGCATATATTATTCTGACTAATACTGTTATACCTTTGGTTCATGACGAAGTGCAAGACTACAGCACACCAGTTCCAAAGAGACTGGACACTTCCATTCACAGGAACATAAATTCGTCATTAGAGAATGAAACGGATGTTATAAGCAGGATACGTGATGGATTAAATCACACTCTTAGATTTGTTAAATCAGTTTTGTCACCAGAAGACAGCGTTAAGGATATTACTACGACTCCTGCTGGATTGTATACCAATAATTATGAGTCGGATATTACCGATAAATTTACTTCTGCTAAACCAGTGGACTATCTCGTAGCAGGAACCGAAGGTTTAGCGTGGGTTGTGCATCTTTGTTTTATCTTAAGCTTGAGACGTGGACGCAATCCTAACCCACGTGGACCAGTATTAATAAGAGCGTTAATATTTCTTTTGATTGTTATTTCTGCGCTATTATTACGCAGCCACGTCAATAATAAGCCCAAAGACGATGTTTTGCCAAATTTATCATTGGGATTCAGTATCACCATAGTCACTCTTCTGATATTGTATGCCGTAACATTGATACCTGGTCCTAGTAGGCCTGAACGGATGAGATCATCATTCCGAAATGCTACAGTAAGTCACTATCATATAATTATCTTGTGTTTTCGTCAATACGCGTTTCTGATTATCCAGAAAATGCTCGAGTTGCAAAATACTTACTTAATTGCTTACGATATCTAATATTATTGAATTATCAAATACGCAGAGATATCACGGATCAGTGAGTGAATGTGTTTGTAGGTAGGAGAACGCACTGCATTACTGAGTAGTCCCACTTCTTCATACGTACAATTTCCAGAAGAACAGGATCCGAGCTACCTTGGCTTAGCAATGGAAGATACAACTATTATTTCTAAACTTCTATTCCATTGGGTAACGCCGTTAATGGAAAAAGGCGTGAAGGGGCTATTAAATCATTCCGACGATTTATTTGATTTGCCCGATCAGATCAGTACTAATACAATCAGTCATAAAATGGAGCAACGTTTACATAACATGGTAAACGATAAAGCATAACAATCCGCAGTTTATTCATGACGAATCTCTTTTGAAATATTTTGATTACATGTGATAGTCGTTTCGTTAATTCTCGTAATAATAATACTAATGTTGCAGCCGAACACTTCGAATAATGGAATCGAAAATAACTCAGAAATACCGCTTCATTCAAACGTAAAAGTAGTTACAAGGAAAGTGACACTGCTCTACTTGCTGCATCAATGTTTTGGCTGGGAATTTTATGCGGTTGGAATACTGAAGTTTGTTGCAGATTGCAGCTTGTTTATGGGACCAATATTATTAAATAAATTGATAGGTTTTATTGAAGATAAAAAAGAGCCAATTTCACATGGATATCTATATGCATTGCTTATAATATTAAGTGCTATAATTGGTACAAAATCGAACTTTCTGAAATTTCTTAAATATTTGCTACTTGAATTACGATAATAATGTTTTTAATGACGTTTTAGGTGCCTTTTGTAATACTCACTTTACATTTTGGATGTCTCTTGTGGGTTTGAAATTTCGTTCTGCAATTATTACTTTAATCTATCAAAAAACATTGCATTCTTCTAATACTGATTTAAATCAAAATTTTAATTTTGGTGAAATCATTAATTTTATGAGCACTGACAGCGATAGATTGGTCAATAGCTGTCCTAGTTTTCATACATTTTGGAGTATACCCTTACAGGTAATTATGTATGGTGTGATATATATTACGATGGTATATGATGATATGAATATGAATGTTTTCTCCTTTTATATATAAGGAGAAAATGTATTGTTCTAATTTTGAATGAACTTATTGTCGTTTCTTAAAAAAGGAAAAAACTAAAAATGTTTATATTTTCAGTTATTCGTGACACTGTATCTTTTGCATAAGCAAATTGGAGTGTCGTTTTTAGCCGGTGTTGCGTTTTCAATAATACTAATACCAATTAATAAAATAATAGCAAATAAAATTGGTAAGCTCAGTACTAAGCTAATGGAATATAAGGATCAAAGAGTGAGGCTTATGGGAGAGATATTGCGTGGGATAACTACAATTAAAGTTAATGTATGGGAGGAGCATTTCTTACGAAATATCTTCAGTTAGTATGCGCTTAAATAAATTTTAAGAAAATTTCTTGTTTTTTAGCATCTTTATCTAAATATCTCCTTTTTTATGTAGAAATAAGAGAGAATGAAGTGAAATATTTACGAGGTAGAAAATATTTAGATGCACTTTGTGTTTATTTTTGGGCGACTACACCTGTCGTTATTGCAATATTAACGTTTGCAACGTATGTATTGGTCGGAAATGAGTTAGATGCCAAAACGGTTTTTACCAGCATGGCATTGTTGAACATGTTAATAGGACCTTTAAATGCGTTTCCATGGGTCTTAAACGGCCTTACAGAAGCATGGGTATCGCTTAAGAGAATTCAAAGAATGCTGGATGTATGTATATTAAAATTATAATGTAGCATAAAGTACAACGCACTATTACATTTGGAGATATTCAATTTCTGTTTTATTAATTTAGTTACCAGATATGGATGCGTCATTGTATTATACAGATATTACGCCTGATGTTGATTTATTGTTACAAAATGTGACGTTGACTGTGAACCGTCCAAGAAATAACGATATTGCTATAAATGCAAGTCCGAAGATTACGAGCACTCCATCTTCAAGTACTGATATTAAAAAAAGCGTTACTTTCGAAGACGATGATGTTTTCGCTTTACATAATATCAATTTATCTATACGAAAGGTAAGAGTAAATTTTGTTTAAGTTTTTTTTTTCAAATATAAGATATAAATGTTTTATATTAACATATTTTGCACAGGGACAATTGATTGGTATTATGGGCAAGGTTGGAAGCGGAAAAACTTTACTGTTAGATGGTATCTTAGCAGAAATTACAAAAACTAGTGGAATAATAGCGGTTAACGATGATCACAAAGGTTTCGGATACGTGAAACAAAATCCTTGGCTACAACGTGGTACAATTCGAGATAATATTCTGTTCGGGAAACCATACGATCATAACAAATACAAGTAAGTATTAAACATCACGAAATTAATGCCGATGATAAATTTTTTTATATGTCCACATATAATTTGATATTTGCGATTACAACAGGAACATTCTGAATGCTTGCGCACTCACGTCCGATTTGAATTCACTGCCTAACAAAGACTTAACAGCTGTTGGCGAAGCCGGGAATACTTTAAGCGGCGGCCAAAAGACAAGAATTTCTCTGGCTCGCGCTATATACGCAGATAAAGATATTTATTTATTAGACGATATATTAGCGACGTTGGATGTCAAAGTTGCCAGACACGTTTTCCAGCATGTAATTCTGGGCTTGTTACGAAATAAAACTAGAATACTGTGCACGCATCAGACTCAATATTTGGTTCACGCAGATTTAGTTATCGAGATGTCGAAAGGAAAAATTGTCAATCAAGGAAAACCGAGCGACATATTGCCCGACTTGGAAGATTATCTTTTGTCGTCAGATTCCATCGACTACGACATGGACACCGACTCTATAAGGGCGCTACCAAATGAATTTAATCAATCGGAAAAAAATGAGATCGATCCATTACTTGACAAGGAAACGACCGAGAAAGGGACGGTACATTTCTCGGTGTACATGTGTTACATCAATGCCATAGGACGATACTTGGCGATCTCGATATTTCTCTCTATGATTCTGATGCAAAGCTCGAAAAACATTACGGATTTGTGGCTGTCGTATTGGGTGACGCACGTTAACGCTACGACTAATTCAACCGACACGTCCGGACTTGGAAAATTGCAACTCTATTACGATAATTACAGTTACCACGATACGAACTATTATTTAATGGTTTACAGCCTGCTAGCTGTATTCAATTCTATTTTTACTTTAATTAGAGCTTTTATCTTCGCCTACGGTGGGATACAAGCAGCCGTAACAATGCACAAGCAACTTTTAAAGATAGTTATGCGGGTGAATATATGAGTTGGAGATATAAAATAATTGTTGTGTATTTCGATTAAGAATTATTGTAAAAATATTGTTTCAGGCAAAAATAATATTTTTCGACATTCAACCAGTTGGTAGGATCATAAATAGATTCTCGTCTGACACATATACAATCGATGACTCTTTGCCTTTTATTACTAACATTTTGCTGGCACATCTATTTGGCTTGGTTGCTACCATTATAGTTACAGCTTATGGATTACCATGGATCTTCCTCATATTAGCACCCCTTATACCCGTCTATCATTGGATACAAAATCATTATAGGTATTATTGTAAATTTGTACAAATGTATAAAAATAATAATTGGTATTTGTTAAAATTCATATTTCCAAATTATTTTCCAGATTAACATCGAGGGAGGTAAAACGATTATCCAGTATCACGTTGTCTCCCTTGTACGCTCATTTCAATGAAACTTTGAGCGGCCTGACGAGTATCAGAGCCTTTCGCACTGTACCTCGCTTCAAACAGGAAAATGAATTGCTGTTAGAAGCCAGCCAGAAAACGCAATTCGCCTCCATAGCTGCCGGTCAATGGCTTGCATTGAGATTACAATTTATCGGTGTCGCCCTTCTAGCCGGAGTCAGCATTATGGCAGTTTTGCAACATCAATATAACATAGCTGATCCTGGTTTGATCGGTTTAGCGATCACATATGCATTGTCTGTAACGGGATTGTTATCTGGGGTAGTGAACTCCTTTACTGAGACTGAGAGAGAAATGATTGCGGTGGAACGAGTCAAACAGTATTTAGATAACGTGCCGACTGAGAATAAAATTGGCGCTAATCCACCTTACGCGTGGCCTAGTCAGGGTGTAGTAGAGTTCAGAGAAGTCGTTTTGAAGTACAGGTAATAACTTTGAACTTTGAACTTTTGATTAAGAGTAATACGTGCTTATGATTTTTGGGAAACATTACTTGTCACATTTGCAGAGATCATTTGGTGCCATCGTTGAAGGAAGTAACGTTTGTCACGCGACCAGCGGAGAAAATAGGCGTTGTTGGTCGAACTGGTGCTGGAAAGAGTTCATTACTAGCTTCTTTATTCAGACTGACAGAAATTAGTTCTGGAAGTATATTAATTGATAACGTGAATATTCAAACGTTGTCATTGAAAGCGTTAAGGTAATATTTAATAAACTTGCAAAGAATGATTATTACATGTTAATTGTAAAAAAAAAATCCATTCTAGATCCCGTTTAGCTATTATACCTCAAAACCCGTTTCTCTTCTCGGGTACTATTCGAGAGAACGTGGATCCGTTGGATCAGTACACCGACATGCATATATACAAAGCCCTCGAGAAGTGCAAAGTACATTCTTTAGTTTATCGATTGGGTGGATTAGGCGCAACCTTGGACGAAGGTGGCAGTAATCTTAGCGCCGGTCAGAGACAATTGTTCTGCTTAGTGAGGGCTGTGCTACATAACGCTAAGGTACTTTTTATCTATAACGTCGTTTGAGAAAGCTGATCATTCGCGTATTAATAACTTTGATACGTATTTATCGCCCAGATTGTCTGCATTGATGAGGCTACCGCGAATGTAGATCAAGAGACGGACAAATTTATTCAAGCGACGATAAAGTCTTCCTTCCAAAGTGCGACAGTTATTACCATTGCCCATAGAATAAGGACGATTATGCATTGTGATAGGTATTCCAACTTTCAGATTTAAGCATTTGTTTAATCAATAATTTGCAGACACGAAAGACATCAGTTTTGTAATATAATTATCGCTAGTTTTGGCCTAAAAATCTATTTCTCTTTTCTGTTCAGAATTCTAGTGATGGGGGATGGTGAAGTGTTGGAATTCGACGAGCCAAATTTATTGATTCAGAATGCCGATTCCTACTTTTACCAGCTGGCCAGTCAAGAATTTTCGGATCAAGAGTGATTAATAAGCATATGAAGCAATTTGATTGTACATATGTAATGAGTGCGTCTAGTATTATACATGGTGATTTTATATACATATAACGCATTGTATGCATGATAGAATGTTTCCAGAGAGACGAATTATTTTCCTATGAATATGACAGGATTAAGTTTTTTTTCTTAATAAACTGAGAGAGTGAGTGACATCTACAAGAGCGAACATTTTTATTTATGAAATATTTAATACATTATTAATATTATGACTATTACTTCTATATTTTATATACAACAAATAAACGTCCAGTTAAGTAAAAAATTGAACGTTTTGATCAATCCTTTATAATTTATACAATTTATACATTCAGAGGATAGTCCTTCGCCCAAAATTTCATTAAAACTTTTAGGGATATTGATTTCTCAGGGATTTGCAATAAATGCATTACTCCGAGTTGTACTCTCCGAGATTCAGTTCATCTGAGGAACGCGCGCGACCGGCGCGATTTATATCGTAATTAGAAATGCCCGCAGTTGAGGGCAAACGTTTTACAATAGTGTTTCGCGGAGTTAATTAAAGCTCGGTAGCGCGTGTGCACGTCTTGCGAGCTACGTTCGTGTCTCGGTGTGTGTGCCTCTGTATTTGCGTGAGCTCGAGGAGCGGCGCAATGTATCCCGATGATATCCGGTATTCAGCCATTCGACGTTTCCGCGCGTTTACAAGGCGGCGAAAACTAATGAGCTATAGTACCGGCTAATTTGCTCCCCGTTTTTTTTAATTGCCCGACGTTTAGCAGGATACACCCCGCTATGTCGGCACGTCGACGAAAACGAGACGTCTCGCGTATTCACGTCGTGCCGACTGAATTACGAGAATGCGAGAGAAGTATGGGGCTGCTTGGGTCGGGAAACAAGCGCGATTCACGGCGCTAATGACGTCGTTCATTTTACACGATCGGTCGGCCTTCCGCGGCTTTCCGCGATGCAAAGAACTCCTCGAATAAGCTAAACTCCGCTTGCTGCCGCGGTCAAGAACTATTCTCAATAAAGAGAATTTTATCGGAAGAATGAATTAACTCCGGAAGTTTGGTATAAATCACGTTTTCAGATTTTCAGATTTTATCGGCAAAATTAAAGTAAATTACTTCGGCAGTATTCGGAAAATTATATACATGATATTTTGCGTTACATATTTAATAGCCATTTAAAATTAATTTTAGTTTAATTGGTCTCTTTAGTTCGTTAATATTGAAAATACATTTCCATAATTGTTCTGTTATGTATGTGGGAACATTTATTTTTTGTTTATTTTATTTTCATTAAAATCCGAAAATTCGCGGAAAAACGTCTCGAGCAAAAGTTAGCTTTTCACTGCGTATTTTATGAACTGTCGCGGATATCGGCGCATGATATAACTCGAAGATAAGCCTTGCTTTTAAACCAAAATTGCCTGTGCTTTGCGGCGGGAGCTCACGTGTCTCAAAGGGAACTCCACGACTGATGACAAGTAAAAAGGAGAAAAAAGATAACACGGCATGATAGAACCGTTAGATTTTACCTTCAGCTTTGTACTATGTTATCTGAAAGTATTCGTGGCAGGAATACTTTTACAACATTCCAGCTCGTGATAGAAAGTATCAGCGATTCACGTGGTAAAATCAAATTTCTCCCGTTCTTTATTGTGCGCTTCTAAAATTCTTTTATGTTACTAATACGAAACATGTATTTCAAGATCTTAAAATTTTCATATTAAATGATTTAATCGGTGCAGTTACAATAATTGAATCATGGAATTATCGATTTATCTGTATTATCTAAAAAAATTTAGATTTCCTCAATTAACGTCATAATGTATTTAATTTTTTGCTGAGAATCACACAAATGCAAAAAGAACTACTATTTCACCAGCTCATGAACCCAAATAGCACAGTGACGTCTCTAACGTCATTAAGACGGAATTAATACGTCATTTGACGTCACTGTGCTATCTGGGAAGTGAACAAACTATAATTCGAGTAAACGTCCTCCAAAGAAAGATTCATTAACAAATTCGGCCAGCTTCGTGAAATATTTGAAATCTCATCTTGGATGCGGAGGCTTGTCGTATCACGGAGGCATGCAGGTCCTTTGCCCTTACACGCCTCTCGGCAGATACTTGAGGCCCTGAAGCCTGAAGCATAGCCACTATACCGTGGGGGACTGGTTGGCTACCCCAAAAGTGCACCTATCGGGGGTTGGTTCAACGAACATGCAGCCCTAGAGATCTACGCTAGAGCGCAGAGAGCGAGAGCAAGAGAGAGAGGGAGAGAGAGAAAGAGAAGGGGAGAGGGAGGGAGAGGGGAGAGAGAGAGAGAGAGAGAGAGAGAGAGAGAGAGAGAGAGAGGAGGGAGGTTTGCCTCTTTGATAACTACCAGGCGCTGTTATCCGATTCGAGTGCAATTTCATAGTAAAACGGTCGCGGATATTAAATCATAGGCGGGCGCAAATCGATAGGGCGACCGCAGTATGCAGTAACATAATTACCATTTATTACCGCAATTTATACGACACGGACGTTGTTGCCACGAACCGCTGCTCAATTAAAACTAAGGAACGCGACCGTGTATAAGCTCATGCACGCGACCACGCTGAAATATTATCATTTTATCCTACGATATCAGATTTAGAGAGTGTCACTCAATAATTTTAATTACTGAGGTTTACCTAAAACGTCTAATAACTGTTAACATATTTTGTTATCATCGAATTAATTCCTATAATATTATTACTTTCACAATCTCTTCTTAAATCTGACAAATAAATGTATAAGATAAAGATAATCATCGATAATTAATTAAATTAGAAAATGCATCTTCGCAAATAATTAATAATTTATTCATCTTCGGTTCATTATGTCACAAGTCAGGATTCGCTTTAGCCAAGATTAAAACGCGGTTGTACGCGATAACGGAGGATAATCCTGGATAAAAAAAAAAACAGAATAAATGATATCGCGGTGACACAAGCGTTAAGCAGGATGATTACACGACCATATATCTGAATTAGGAACGAGCGTCCATAACTCATTACGCTCACAATTCTCTTTCGTCAGACGGTCGCACGCCGCTCGCATAAATCACAATTTGCCCTACTGATGGTCGCAGGTGGACAGGAATAGCGGGATGCAGATCTAAAAAGCTATGATTGCATGCGACGTAGCACATGGCTGAAACGTGCGACGCGTGTAATCGATCTCGGGGCGATCTTTAGCGCCGGTAATTACAACGACGTTTTTTCCTTTTTGCCTTAATCAATCCAATAATTCTTCTTGACACCGGCGGTCTAAGGGCAAACGGGTTAAGTGCTCCATTCAATTAATTTTCACCACTAAGAACACAAAGATATACTGCACGTATTATTTTTTTGCTACATTCTAAAATATAGCATCCATATATGTTTTTATTCAATTTAAACTTGTATAAAGTGGAACAGAAAATTCTCATACAGACTTTCTTATAAAATTCAAAAAAAATTTTCCTTATTAAAAATTTGATTGCGTCTTTTCGGAATTTTTTTTAAATTATACTATTATTAGTATGAAAGATTAATCTCCGAAGACGCGTTATTGTGCCAATGTATACAGACAAACTATTTTAGACTCATTAATTCCAGTTTTTTAAAAAATAGTAGAAAGAGATATTCCAAGGCACGAATGTGACACACCTCATATTTCCATTATATAACTAAGGAAAAATACGCTGGATGACAGATATAACGCGCTGCCAGCTGCTTTTACCATGATTAGTGCGCGATGCGATGGAAAGCTGCGTGCACACGCGTAGGCACGCATATACGCGTAAGCAAACACAAACGTCGGGGTGCATCGACGTATTCGAACATATGCGTAAACGTCGCATTCAGGTTGCAACGTTAACTTACGTAATGCGAGGTACCGACAACTAGCGCATTCATATTAGGTTTTCTCTCGAAAAATGTGAATCATCTCGTGTGTCCTGACGTCGGTTCCGCCGGTGTATCGCCTTCTTCGTGTTGCCACGATTTTTTTCATTTGTCAAATATTAAAATATAAAACGTAGAGCTGACTGATCAAAGCGCGACGTCGAAGTATAAAGGCTTAATTATTTCGAGACATCGCAACTACTGCTGTATAAGCCTGCAGAACTCTCTTTTGCCCTAAAATCATGATTTAAGAAATTAGTCGCTTTTTGTAGATTGTTAGATTAATAGATCATTAATTTCGGAAACCCGTAATTCTCTCCCGAATCGAAGGCATTATAATTAAAGCATGCATTCAAATAACATTTTTTAAATATCTCCTTTTTGCATTTTTTTGTATAACGTTTTATCATAATAATCTTATAATAATCTATTAATAAATAATATAAATATTCATGAGATGTCAATGTAAAATAATAAAAATATCAAATAATTGTCAAAATAAGATTTAAGTTTAATTGGCAATGAGTTTTCATAATTTTTTTATTATTTTATAATGTATATTTATTGTTATAATATTATGTCTTTTCAGAAGACAAGATTTCAGATTTACCACGGAAAGATTAAAGATATGCATTACGAACAACTCCAAGCAAAGTTTCGCATAGCTCTCCGTGCATGGATCTGCGTCGTTCGTATAATGCGAGTCATATTATACGGTTTGTCGCAGCGAGACACGCCGGAGATACATATAAGTGACGGCCCTTCTGCGTGTACTTCTATCCCATATGCTCATTACTGCGTCTCGGGTTAAGCCGGTCGTGTTTAGCGCTCGTTGACGGTCGATGCGCCAAAGAAAATCAGCTTTTCCTTCTCGTCGTCTTTTTTCCAATTGCGGGTGATGAAGGCGTTCATTCATTACGCGTCTTATTATAATTGACAGGTCAAGTGGCGAGCCAAGATATCTGTCTCGTTACGGATCTCGTCTAGGGATGATATTAAGTTTATACGTATTCGCAAATCTCAATTCAATCCGGCATCTGAATATCGTTTCATTATGATAGAGTAATCGTTCGAGGAGTAAAGATAGATTTGTTTTCAATACGATATAAAAAAAGTCGATACAAATTTTACTTTATTGAGATTCGTAGTAAGCAAATCTATTTCTCGTCTTACAATTATACTCACGAGATTCGGATATATTCTTAAATCGTTTGCAAAAGATTTTATCTCATTTCCAGCTACATCCCGCGTGATCCATGGTGCATTAGGCGAATGTTGCATTCTCACATGCGACGCGCATTCAC